CATCTACCTCTAACCCTAGGAAGCTCTTTGCCACCTTCTCCTCCCTGCTGAATCACATCTCTGCATGTCTGGCAGACACATCAGTGTGGATGACGGATCACCACCTCAAGCTGAACCTCAGCAAGACGGAGCTGCTCTTCCTCCCGGGGAAGGACTGCCCGTTCCATGATCTCGCCATCATGGTTGACAACTCCGTTGTGTCCTCCTCCCAGAGTGCGAAGAGCCTTGGCGTGACCCTGGACAACACCCTGTCGTTCTCCGCTAACATCAAGGCGGTGACCCGATCCTGTAGGTTCATGCTCTACAACATTTGGCGAGTATGACCCTGCCTTACACAGGATGTGGCACAGGTCCTAATCCAGGCACTTGTCATCTCCCGTCTGGATTACTGCAACTCGCTGTTGGCTGGGCTCCGTGCCTGTGCCATTAACATTTTTTTTATTTATTAAACCCCTACAACTCATCCTGAATGCCGCAGCCCGTCTGGTGTTCAACCTTCCCAAGTTCTCTCACGTCACCCCGCTCCTCCGCATACTCCACTGGCTTCCAGTTGAAGCTCGCATCTGCTACAAGACCATGGTGCTTGCCTACGGAGCTGTGAGGGGAACGGCACCTCCGTACCTTCAGGCTCTGATCAGTCCCTACACCCAAACGAGGGCATTGCGTTCATCCACCTCTGGCCTGCTGGCCCCCCTACCTCTGCGGAAGCACAGTTCCCGCTCAGCCCAGTCAAAACTGTTCACTGCTCTGGCACCCCAATGGTGGAACAAGCTCCCTCACGACGCCAGGACAGCGGAGTCACTCACCACGTTCCGGAGACACTTGAAACCCCACCTCTTTAAGGAATACCTGGGATAGGATAAAGTAATCCTTCTACCCCCCCTTACCCCACCCCAAAGAAAAAAAAAAAACATATTGTAAAGTGGTTATCCCACTGGCTATAGGGTGTATGCACCAATTTGTAAGTCGCTCTGGATAAGAGTGTCTACTAAATGACGTAAATGTAAATGTGTACAGATCCTTGAGACATGGGGCCGTGCGTTATCATGCTGAAACATGAGGTGATTGCGGCGGATGAATGGCATGACAATAGGCCTCAGGATTTCATCACTGTATCTCTGTACATTCAAATTGAATGTAATTGTGTTCATTGTCAGTAGCTTATGCCTGCCCAGACCATAACCCCACCACCACTATGGAACCCTCTGTTCACAACGCTGACATCAGCAAACCCCTCGCCCTCACAACGCCAGACTGCCGTCTGCCCGGTACAGTTGAAACCGGGATTAATCCGTGAAGAGCACACTTCTCCAGCGTGCCAGGGGCCATCGAAGGTGAGCATTTTCCCACTGAAGTCGGTTACGACGCCAAACTGCAGTCAGTCTAAGACCCTGGTGAGGACGACGAGCACGCAGATGAGCTTCCCTGAGACGGTTTCTGACAGTTTGTGCAGAAATTCTTCGGTTGTGCAAACCCACAGTTTCATCAGCTATCTAGGTGGCTCGTCTCAGACAATTCCACAGGTGAAGAACCCGGATGTAGAGGTCCCGGAGCAGGAGTGGTTACACGTGGTCTGCAGTTATGAGGCCGGTTGGAGGTACTGCCAAATTCTCTAAAACAATGTTGGAGGCACCTTATGGCTGAGAAATTAACATTAAATTATCTGCCAACAGCTCTGGTGGACATTCCTTCAGTCAGCATGCCAATTGCACTCTCCCTTAAAGAGACATCTGTGGCATTGTGTTGTGTGACAAAACTACACACTTTAGACTGGCCTTTTATTGTCCCCAGCACAAGGTGCACCTGTGTAATGATCATGCTGTTTAATCAACTTCTTGATATGCCACACCTGTCAGGTGGATGGATTATCTTGTCAAAGGAGAAATGCTCACTAACAGGGATGTAAACATAATTAGTTAAATAAAGTCCACCTGTGTGCAATCTAAGTGTCACATGATCTGTCACATGATCTCAGTATATATACACCTGTTCTGAAAGGCCCCAGAGTCTGCAACACCACTAAGCAAGGGGCACCACCAAGTAAGCGGCACCATGAAGACCAAGGAGCTCTCCAAACAGGTCAGTTGTGGAGAAGTACAGATCAGGGTTGGGTTATAAAAAAATATCAGAAACGTTGAACATCCCATGGAGCACCATTAAAACCATTAATAAAAAATGGAAAGAATATGGCACCACAACAAACCTGCCAAGAGAGGGCCACCCACCAAAACTCACGGACCAGGCAAGGAGGGCATTAATCAGAGAGGCAACAAAGATACCAAAGATAACCCTGAAGGAGCTGCAAAGCTCCACAGCGGAGATTGGAGTATCTGTTGGAGGTCATTTTCCATCTCATGCTACCACTAGAGTGAAAGCACCGCCAGCATTCAAAAGTGACCAAAACATCAGCCAGGAAGCATAGGAACTGAGAAGTGGTCTGTGATCACCACCTGCAAAACCAGTCCTTTATTGGGGGTGTCTTGCTAATTGCCTATAATTTCCACCTGTTGTCTATTACATTTGCACAACAGCATGTGAAATATATTGACAATCAGTGTTGCTTCTTAAGTAGACAGTTTGATTTCACAGAAGTGTGATTGACTTGGAGTTACATTGTGTTGTTTAAGTGTACCCTTTATTTTTTTGAGCAGTGTATTTTGTTTATTTTTTATCTGTGATTCCTAAAAAAGTATGCCTGCGGGCTGTTGCTGATTGCAAAAATTAATGTAGCATTAGCCCAGTGGTGATTTAAGCATGTACTTTCGCAAGCCTCTGTATTGCGCCACCTACTGCATGGGCTGTGTCAGCCTACTGTTCTGTAGTATGAATTCATTACACTCTGTGACACAAAAGACAGGGAAAAGTGAAGAAAAAGCTGATGCAGCACTCCATCACTCTCCTTCTTGGTCAAATAGCCCTTACACAGCCTTGGGGTGTGTTGGGTCATTGTCCTGTTGAAAAACAAATGATAGTCCCACTAAGCGCAAACCAGATGGGATGGCGTATCGCTGCAGAATGCTGTGGTAGCCATGCTGGTTAAGTGTGCCTTGAATTCTAAATAAATCACAGACAGTGTCACCAGCAAAGCACCCCCACACCATCACACCTCCTCCTACACGCTTCACTTTGGCAACCACACATGCAGAGATCATCCATTCACCTACTCTGCGTCTTACAAAGACACGGCGGTTGGAACCAAAAATCTCACATTTGGACTCATCAGACCAAAGGACAGATTTCCACTGGTCTAATGTCCATTGCTCGTGTTTCTTGGTCCAAGCAAGTCTCTTCTTCTTACTGGTGTCCTTTAGTAGTGGTTTCTTTGCAGCAATTCGACCATGAAGGCCTGATTCACGCAGTCTCCTCTGAACAGTTGATGTTGAGATGTGTCTGTTACTTGAACTCTGTGAAGCATTTATTTGGGCTGCAATCTGAGCTGCAGTTGACTCTAATGAACCTACACTCTGCAGCAGAGGTAACTCTGGGTCTTCCTTTCCTGTGGCGGTCCTCATGAGAGCCAGTTTCATCATAGCACTTGATGGTTTTTGTGACTGCACTTGAAGAAACTTTCAAAGTTCTTGAAATGTTCCGTATTGACTGACCTTCATGTCTTATGATGGACTGTCGTTTCTCTTTGCTTATTTGAGCTGTTCTTGCCATAATATGGACTTGGTCTTTTCCCAAATAGGGCTATCTTCTGTAAACCAACCCTACCTTGTCACAACACAACTGATTGGCTCAAATTCATTAAGAAGGAAATAAATTCCTCAAATTAACTTTTAACAAAATGTCGGAAACATTAACTTGCTTGACCATGCTGTAGTAGGTCATGTAACTGTTTGTTTGTGGACTTGACCACACATATGTTGCTCTCTGGTTTTGTGATGAAACAGAGGTGTGGTTGAATGTATTCTGCCACTGTGTCTTCTTATTGTCTCGGCCTAGGCCTATATATCACGGTGGCAAGGAATATGAACTAACAGGTTATAGAGCAAACAAAGCAATTATCACAACACATAGGTTGTAATATGGCTTTTCTTCCTGCCTTGGCTTCCTCTGTGATTTTACCCATGCACCCCTGCATGTTTGAAGGAGAACAAAAATGAACTAATAAAAAGAGTAAAGCAGATCACTTTTAGATTATTATTATTTTTGTACTTTTATTATTTATCCCATGGAGAGCTGTGGTGTCATTTAACAACAAAATAACCGATGTAATAAATTAACTTTACTCGCTGCTGCAGTGGGGAGAGGACCGAGAGGCGGGAGAGGACAGAAAGATGGGAGATGGGGCGCAAGTGACGGGTGCACACACGCAGCAGCAGCCGGCGGAAGCGCACAGCTGAACTGAGCCGAGCGGGCACACACACAAACAGGGAAGTTTGTCGCTGGGGCAGCCGTAAAAACTAGCTACATTTTTTGCTATACTCTTTTACCAATAAAAGTTGCTGGAGAGGTCTGAAAACTCTCTAAATCTAGCAACAAAGTCTCTAAAATGGCAACGCTGGCTCTGACACCTGTGGCTCGCAGCGGAGCTCCATAAAAATATACATAAAAATGATAGCTTTACAACAGAAGTTAAAGTATCCTTCTTTCATCTGAATAAATCAATCAAATACAAATATGCAAGAGACAGTTTGGGACTTTTTGTAATTAGTAAATAAAGGGGAATTTAAATGTTAATACTGAATCATGGGTAAAGTAGTTATTTATTCCTCTGTCAAATTTATAGACTTTAAAAAGGTCAACGTACACAGCTGAAGCATACTGCACTGTCAAATATTTGTATAACTAACCCTTATTCCTCTATCAACCTCATAGACTTTAAAAAGGTCAACGTAAACAGCTGAATCATACTGTCCTGTCTTTGGTACTACCACAGATAGAACAATGAGGGTTAGTTATAAAAAATCTTTGGTACTACTGTCTTTGGCTGAAGGATTTTCAACTACATTTCCCGAGAGCCACCAGCTTTGCGGCGCATGCCTATAAACGATTCACTGGCCACCTCGTGACCACTGATTTCAAGAAATAGGGGTGACCTCTTGTTGCAAGAACAGTCCAAGCTACTATATAAAGATGGTAAGTAACAAACAAAAAAGTTGTATGAACTTTGTTTACAAAACTTTAGCTTTACTACAATGATAAATGCTAGTACGCTGACAGCGAGGTGACATTTCGTTCGCTTGTTGCCAGCAACCAACGCTTGCTTCTGCAAGTAGCTAACCTAACTTATAACGTTAGCTAGCTAGCTACCGGGAACCAACTTTTGTATCAAGTTCTATACCTACGGTTCGACCAAGTTAAACATGTTTGTAAAACGATGTTGCATGTGATTCTTGTGTTATGTTGTTTAAAGACAAGTTGGAAGGAATACACTGGCTAATTCATTAGAAAGGATTGTTGGAAATGTGCCAGTCAACTTGGCACGTTTTAACATCATGTCGTTTCGACAGCTTGTGTAGTATGCAAATTTGTCCACATAAATTTGAAAAAGGTCCGAAATGGGCAGAATGTGTTAATGTGGCCTAATGTTATCTAGCTGTCTAACTATTGCATGCGACTTTTTCTCCCCAGCAAAATACAATTGTTTTATTTTGTGACTATTTACGTTTGTATGAAAGGGATAAGGTTGAATGAATGTTAAAGATGGTTTGTTACAGTAGCTATAAATATCTCGGCTCAGATGTCTCGAGGAGTGTGTTCTATTTTTAAATTGACCGTGGCTTACCTCTGAGTTAATAAATCCCACTCCGACATTGTCCGGGCACGGATCCCGGATCCCATTTGGAATACCATTGTTGGAGACAAACTCAAGTTCTAGCTAGGGTTCTAGTACAGTTATCTCTAGTATTGTAACTGACTGTCACTTAGTTACGAGTAAACTCCTAGCCAATTCCTCAAAGGTATCCCACTCACCTCATTCCCAATTAATGTACACCTCATTTTACCTGACTGTTTGTGTTGTTGACAGTGAGTGTTTTTCCTTTACAAGCTCACTGATGTTACGTAACATTGATTCCTCAAACCCTCCCAAGTAATGCACTACATGGGGGCTTAGGGCAAGTTCACCTCCAATATTTTAAAATGTGCCACTGAAATTGCAGCGACAAAGGCCAAAAACCCCCCAAAAAACAGCGCCTGGTCGCATTCTTTTGGCAACAAATGGAAGAAAATTAACTGAAACAGGGACTTACTACCTGAACTTGTTCAAAAAGAAATGCACATTTTAGTGTTCCATTGCGAAACATTTTACTACAGTGTTTAGGCGAATTTGCTCTGGATAAGTGTCTAAGTAACCTAACTGTAATGTGCCCTAATGAATAGGGCCCTGATCAGTGTTTTTATATCTTGTGTTGCAGTCTGCTGAACCTGTTCGTGTTCTGGTCACCGGCGCTGCTGGGCAGATTGCCTACTCCTTGCTGTTCGGCATCGCCAAGGGAGATGTGTTCGGCAAAGATCAGGTAAAGAAGGAAGGAAGGAAGAAGCTTTGGCTTGACTTGCATTACGTAACATCCCAGCTGATCCTGTTAGGGGTTGTCGAGTGTGTGTCTGAAATGGCACCCTATTCCCTATATAGTGCACTACTTACCCTATTTGCCCTGGTCAAAAGGAGTGCACTATATAGGGAATAGGGTGCCATGTCAGATACCCCGTGTCATCATGACTGATGGGCAACATGCAGTGCCACACACTCACCCCTCAAAGTCACAGGTTGTGGGGTCGTATCTGAATTGAGTCACAACCTGCAGAAGCTTCACTCAAGGCTTTAGTGTCCTTGAATTGCCTGAAATTGAACCACTAGCATACAGCCTACCGGTAGCATAGGCTTAACACTGTCCCTTCAAGTAGTCCTAACAATCAGTGTTGTCAATGTAGTAATCATATGAACCATATACATCTGTTCAGTTATCAATCTACCAGCCAGTAGGTCAATGGAAAGATCAATACATCCTACTCTCATTGGTTATCTACTCTTGTCATTTCATGGTCTCTCCTATCAGCCAATCTCCCTGATCTTGCTGGACATCTCCCCCATGTTGCCAGTCTTGGATGGAGTGGTCATGGAGCTGCAGGACTGTGCCCTCCCACTCCTGAGAGGTAAACCATGGGGGGGCATATTCTGACTGGATTGGGGGAGGGTCGAGGGCATATTCTGACTGGATTGCGGGAGGGCCGAGGGCATATTCTGACTGGATTGGGGGTGGGCCGAGGGCATATTCTGACTGGATTGGGGGAGGGCCGAGGGCATATTCTGACTGGATTGGGGGAGGGCCGAGGGCATATTCTGACTGGATTGGGGGAGGGCCGAGGGCATATTCTGACTGGATTGGGGGAGGGCCGAGGGCATATTCTGACTGGATTGGGGGAGGGCCGAGGGCATATTCTGACTGGATTGGGGGAGGGCCGAGGGCATATTCTGACTGGATTGGGGGAGGGCCGAGGGCATATTCTGACTGGGGGGATGGGGATTCGTTTCTGTAAATCATCCTTTTTTCAAAATTTGAAAATGAACCATGAGCAGGGTGACAGCTGGACCTGGGTCAGAATGAACCATGAGCATCCAGACCTGGGGCAAATAACATGTCAAATACTTCAGCTGTGTTTGATTGACTTTGCCCAGTACAATGCAGTGTTTCCCTTATATTCGTTGCTGCCACTCCAAAGATATGATGAAAACAATTAGGATGATAGAATGTTTTCAGTGTGAACTTGAATGACTAAAACCAAACATTAAGGATGTAGAGAAGTTCTCAGTCCCATGGCAAAATGTGTACAATTGCAGGAAATTAGCTTTAAAACATAAAAATGTTGTCTCTGTGGCCAAGAGGACGGCCTCTAAAATGTCAGGTCGTTGGCCACGCCCACTACCACTGAAATGGAAGGAAGCCGGTTTCCTGGTTGGACCGCCGGGCCTTCTCTCTTTGTCCCGTTACAGTAACCAATGTCTGTGTCACAAATGGGACCCTATTCCGTATATCCCTCAAACTCAACTCTGGACCTTGAAGCCAGTTCCATTGCGTTTTTAAATTGTTCCCCTCTAACCAGGGACTGATTTTAGACTTGGGAGACCAGGTGGGTGCAATTAATTATCAAGTAGAACAGAAAACCAGCAGGCTCCGGACCTCGTAGGGTCAGAGTTGACTACTCCTACCCTATATAGTGCACTACTTTCTTTTTTTTAACCCTATGGGCTGTCCTATGGACACTGGTCAATAGTAGTGCACTATATAGGGAATGGGGTGCCATTTGGAATACAAATGACATGGCTTTAGTTGTGAGGCACCAGTAGTATCTCCAATCTCCATTGTGACCTGGTATTTTTCTGTTGTCAACGGTGGTGTCCTTGCTTTGTTCTCACCTCTGCTGTGAGGCCCCAGTATTAACGCTCAGTGCTGCAAAGACAATGTTCAATGTGGGGAGGAGGGTGTCTATAGTGATATGACCCGTGTCCAAACCAGACCTGGGTTCAAGCACTATTTAAAACCGTTAAAATACTTGTAGTGCGTTTGCCAGATCGGTGGGATTTGCAGAATCGCCAGAATCTCGCAGAAATCCCTTTTAAAGCTGTTAACTGGCAACAGTCAGTCTGTCCCACAGACAACAGTAGCATAACACAGTAATCAATATAGGCTGTGGTAAAGCTGACATAAAAGCAACAACTGTGAGTGACTGAGCTGATGAGAATGTAAGGTGTGTTGGGACAAGATGGGAATTAACACAGGGAAAACCACACTGAGACAATGTACAGCAGAACGCCATGGGCAAACGCATGCAAGCCTCTGTTTCTTCAAAGAGGCTACTTTCATTGTCACGCCTGAAGGATTTAGCCTAATAAAGCACTCCTTAAAAAAGCGATTTGCTGCTGTCCTGGATCATGTTAATTAGACAACACCATAGTAAAACCTTTCACAATGTTGTGCACCAAAAATGAAAAGTAGTCTTTTGTTATCCTCCCTGTTTCAGTCTGTTGTCTTCCATGTGGTGCCCATTGAACCAACCAACCCTGGTCTGTTGTCTTCCATGTGGTGCCCATTGAACCAACCAACCCTGGTCTGTTGTCTTCCATGTGGTGCCCATTGAACCAACCAACCCTGGTCTGTTGTCTTCCATGTGGTGCCCATTGAACCAACCAACCCTGGTCTGTTGTCTTCCATGTGGTGCCCATTGAACCAACCAACCCTGGTCTGTTGTCTTCCATGTGGTGCCCATTGAACCAACCAACCCTGGTCTGTTGTCTTCCATGTGGTGCCCATTGAACCAACCCACCCTGGTCTGTTGTCTTCCATGTGGTGCCCATTGAACCAACCCACCCTGGTCTGTTGTATTTTATTAGTCTACAGAGGTCATTCCCACAGACAAGGGAAAAAAAACTACAAGTGTCTTAAAGGACACATGTCCAGATAGTCCCTCCCCTTTCACGCTTGTTTCTGACCGTTTTTCTTCCATTTGGTACCGAATGAACAAGCCCTTGTTTATTCCATCTGTTTTCAGAGGTCATCCCCACGGACAAGGAGGACGTTGCCTTCAAGGACCTGGACGCTGCCATCCTGGTGGGCTCCATGCCCAGGAGAGAGGGTATGGAGAGGAAGGATCTGCTCAAGGCTAACGTGGCCATCTTCAAGAGCCAGGGGGCCGCACTGGAGAAGTACGCCAAGAAGACTGTCAAGGTGAGATGATACAGGGTTTGTCGTCTGTGTAACTGTCAGCGTCCCGAAATGTCTACGCAGACTCGCCGTCTGTCAATACTAGCAGGTACCATCCGTTTGTGATATAGTGGAAGCCATGTGTCCTTAGACTTAGAGAGGACTCATGAGACGCTGCACCTCAGACCTGTTGAAATTCACACTTCACCACGTGTTGGGCGCTTATGCCCTATGGAAAAACTGGCCTGGAATGCCGTTGTGTGTGTGAGCGTTGTGTGAGAGTGTGTGTGTGTTTGCAAGCATGTGTGTTTTGATTTTAAAATCTAGCTGCTCACATGTCTTAACACTATATCCCACCCCTCCGGTCTGCTTCGGTATAGAAGCCTCACATTGTATCCACCCTGGCTTGGTTCCATCCCAGGAGTTGGTCTGCTTCGGTCTAGAAGCCTCACATTGTATCCACCCTGGCTTGGTTCCATCGCAGGGAGACATTCTGATTCTCTACTGCTCCCCAAGTGTGCACTTGTATACTTCCCTTCATGGATTTACAAAAGAAATGGACTGGTGTTCGGAATATGGTGGAAACCTATAGAATTAGGAATTATAATATTAGTAATTTTAATAGGGTCTCTATGGTGGAAACTCCCTCCAGCCATGCTTACACCAATACCAATGCTTTTAAATGCATGATGGGGCGTGAATGAGGGCACACTTCAAGACAATAGGAACTCCGCCAAGGACTGGAATGTCCCGACTAGTGCCAGTAGAACTGTGGGTGTGTTGTGAGGAGGGCTCTTGGCCTCAGATACTGATCTAGCAACAGGTGTTGGGGACTGTCAGACTGACGGTGTGCGTGTGTGTTAGAGAGCGTGACTGCGTGCATGTGTGTGTGCTGGCACTTGTCATTTCTCCCGACTGCATTCTTCCTTAAGTGACCTTGTTACAAAGACCTTGTTACAAATGCGACGGCGCACAAATGGCCCAGCGTCGTCCAGGGTAGGGGAGGGAATGGCCGGCAGGGATGTAGCTCAGTTGGTAGAGCATGGCGTTTGCAACGCTAGGGTTGTGGGTTCTTTTCCCACGGGGGGCCAGTATGAAAAAAATATGAAAAAAATAAATAATGAATGCACTCACTATCTGTAAGTCGCTCTGGATAAGAGCGTCTGCTAAATGACTAAAATGTAAAATACAAAAACTTGACTTGTCTTCAGGCTGCCGTGACAGTCGGGCAGCAAGGTTGACGCTGCCGTGATAGAACGTCAGGCAGCAAGGCTTTGGAATTTTCCATTACTCACACAAGGCCCAAGTTACAAATGTTAAAGTTCAAGTAATTTTTCTTTTTAAACTACATGGTGGTCATAGATACTGAAATAAAATGATATATTGCATTTCTAAATAGACAAACATTTAAGTTAAAATAAAGGTGCAAACTATGACCTATTTGTTACATTCGCAACAATATGTACAATGTATATGCCCTCTTAGTCTCAAATTGCCTTACTTCAACGTCCCCATCACTCTGCTGTTAAGAGATGTTTTTTTGCATGGTCTGCATCTCAATCCACCGCATCCTCCTATGGCAGTCTTCCGCATCTGCGGTGGAAGGTGGCTGAGCGACAGTGGTGTTTGTCAGACCATGAGACATCCCGATAATCGGTCTTCTCACGAAGGCATACATGCATACATACATACAGTACCAGTCAAAAGGTTGGAAACCGTTGCTCATTAAAGGGTTTTTATTTTTTACTATTTTCTACATTGTAGAATAATAGTGAAGACCTCAAAACTATGAAATTACACATATGGAATCATGTAGTAACCAAAAAAGTGTTAAACAAATCCAAATATATATTTTATATTTGAGATTTTTCAAAGTAGCCACCCTTTGCCTTGATGACAGCTTTGCACACTCTTGTCATGCTCTCAACCAGCTTCATGAGGTAGTCACCTGGAATGCTTTTCCAACAGTCTTGAAGGAGTTCCCACATATGCTGAGCACTTGTTGGCTGCTTTTCCTTCACTCTGCCATCCAACTCATCCCAAATCATCTCAATTTGGTTGAGGTCGGGTGATTGTGGAGGCCAGGTCATCTGATGCAGCACTCCATCACTCTCCTTCTTGGTCAAATAGCCTGGAGGTGTGTTGGGTCATTGTCCTGTTGAAAAACGAATGATAGTCCCACTAAACGCAAACCAGATGGGATGGCGTATTGTTGCAGAATGCTGTGGTAGCCATGCTGGTTAAGTGTGCCTTGAATTCTAAATAAATCACAGACAGTATCACCAGCAAAGCACCATCACACCACCTCCTCCATGCTTCACAGTGGGAACCACACATGCGGAGATCATCCGTTCACCTACTCTGCGTCTCACAAAAACACGGCGGTTGGAACCAAAAATCTCACATTTGGACTCATCAGACCAAAGGACCGATTTCCACTGGTCTAATGTCCAGTGCTCGTGTTTCTTGGCCCAAGCAAGTCTCTTCTTATTGATGTCCTTTAGTAGTGGTTTCTTTGCAGCAATTCAACCATGAAGGCCTGATTCACCCAGTCTCCTCTGAACAGTTGATGTTGAGATGTCTGTTACTTAACTCTGTGAAGCATTTATTTGGGCTGCAATCTGAGGTGCAGTTAACTCTAATGAACTTATACTCTGCAGCAGAGGTAACTCTGGGTCTTCATTTCCTGTGGCGGTCCTCATGAGAGCCAGTTTCATCATAGCGCTTGAATGTTTTTGCGACTGCACTTAAAGAAACTTTCAAAGTTCTTAATTTTCCGCATTGACTGACCTTCATGTCTTATGATGGACTGTTGTTTCTCTTTGCTTATTTGAGCTGTTCTTGCCATAATATGGACTTGGTCTTTTGCCAAATAGGGCTATCTTCTGTATACCACCCCTACCTTGTCACAACACAACTGATTGGCTCAAACTCATTAAGAAGGAAAGCAATTCCACAAATTAACTTTTAACAAGGCACACCTGTTAATTGAATGCATTCCAGGTGACTACATCATGAAGCTGGTTGAGATTTTGTTTTCATAGTTTTGATGTCTTCACTATTATTCTACAATGTAGAAAATAGTAAAAATAAAAACCTTATAATGAGTAGGTGCCATCTTTTGACTGGTACTGTACATGACACACTTCACCCTTATTCCTTATGATTAATTTTGACTCTTTTTTTTTTCCATTTATGAATGTTATTCAATGCGATTTGGTAGTAAAGACAATTTAAAAATGTATCAATTAAAAAAAAAATATATATATATATATATACATACATACATACAGTGGGGGGAAAAGTATTTAGTCAGCCACCAATTGTGCAAGTTCTCCCACTAAAAAAGATGAGGCCTGTAATTTTCATCATAGGAAACACGTCAACTATGACAGACAATTGAGAAAAAAATTTCCAGAAAATCACATGTAGGATTTTAATGAATTTATTTGAAAATTATGGTGGAAAATAAGTATTTGGTCACCTACAAACAAGCAAGATTTCTGGCTCTCACAGACCTGTAACTTCTTCTTTAAGAGGCTCCTCTGTCCTCCACTCGTTACCTGTATTAATGGCACCTGTTTGAACTTGTTATCAGTATAAAAGACACCTGTCCACAACCTCAAACAGTCACACTCCAAACTCCACTATGGCCAAGACCAACGAGCTGTCAAAGGACACCAGAAACAAAAGTGTAGACCTGCACCAGGCTGGGAAGACTGAATCTGCAATAGGTAAGCAGCTTGGTTTGAAGAAATCAACTGTGGGAGCAATTATTAGGAAATGGAAGACATACAAGACCACTGATAATCTCCCTCGATCTGGGGCTCCACGCAAGATCTCACCCCGTGGGGTCAAAATGATCACAAGAACGGTGAGCAAAAATCCCAGAACCACACGGGGGGACCTAGTGAATGACCTGCAGAGAGCTGGGACCAAAGTAACAAAGCCTACCATCAGTAACACACTACGCCGCCAGGGACTCAAATCCTGCAGTGCCAGAAGTGTCCCCCTGCTTAAGCCAGTACATGTCCAGGCCCGTCTGAAGTTTGCTAGAGTGCATTTGGATGATCCAGAAGAGGATTGGGAGAATGTCATATGGTCAGATGAAACCAAAATACTCGTCGTGTTTGGAGGACAAAGAATGCTGAGTTGCATCCAAAGAACACCATACCTACTGTGAAGCATGGAGGTGGAAACATCATGCTTTGGGACTGTTTTTCTGCAAAGGGACCAGGACGACTGATCCGTGTAAAGAAAAGAATGAATGGGGCCATGTATCGTGAGATTTTGAGTGAAAACCTCCTTCCATCAGCAAGGGCATTGAAGATGAAACGTGGCTGGGTCTTTCAGCATGACAATGATCCCAAACACACTGCCCGGGCAACGAAGGAGTGGCTTCGTAAGAAGCATTTCAAGGTCCTGGAGTGGCCTAGCCAGTCTCCAGATCTCAACCCCATAGAAAATCTTTGGAGGGAGTTGAAAGTCTGTGTTGCCCAGCGACAGCCCCAAAACATCACTGCTCTAGAGGAGATCTGCATGGAGGAATGGGCCAAAATACCAGCAACAGTGTGTGAACCTTGTGAAGACTTACAGAAAACGTTTGACCTGTGTCATTGCCAACAAAGGGTATATAACAAAGTATTGAGAAACTTTTGTTATTGACCAAATACTTATTTTCCACCATAATTTGCAAATAAATTCATTAAAAATCCTACAATGTGATTTTCGGGATATTTTTTTCTGATTTTGTCTGTCATAGTTGACGTGTACCTATGATGAAAATTACAGGCCTCATCTTTTTAAGTGGGAGAACTTGCACAATTGGTGGCTGACTAAATACTTTTTTCCCCCACTGTGTGTGTGTATATATATATATATATATATATATATATATATATATATTTTGTATACCTAAAATTCTAAATCGATTAGCTAAATTATCCATGGTATGACCATCTTAAAACAAATCTATAGGACTGCTTATAACCCCCTCGCCCCCAACGTGTTAGACTCTAGAGAATGAAGTCTCGTCATCACTGCTGTTTCAGAATGAACATTAGGAAGCCTGGAAGCTGAAGCTGAAACTATTTTTTAGTTTTTTTGTCATCTTAATTGATATCGTGTGTGTGTGTTTAACATTGCCTCTCCTTGTTTCGGTCAGGTCCTGGTGGTTGGTAACCCAGCCAACACAAACTGTCTGATCGCAGCCAAGTCCGCCCCCTCCATCCCCAAAGAGAACTTCTCCTGCCTTACCCGTCTGGACCACAACCGGGCCCGCTCTCAGGTACCTATGTGTGGAGAAGAGTGGTTGTTTTGTACCTTTTTGATTGAACCCCTGAATTAATATTGTTAGTCCAATCCCTCATGATGACGGAGTCTGTCTGTACTTTACCTGTAGTGGGTGTTTTGAGTTTCATTAGGGACAGATAAAGTGGGTGTGGATTATCTTAATAGATGGTAATGTCATCCTTACGAAGCTCTCTCCTCTCTCTACCCCAGGTTGCGATGCGCTGCGGCGTGCCAGCCACCCAAGTGAAGAACGTGATCATCTGGGGCAACCACTCGTCCACCCAGTACCCTGACGTCCACCACTGCAAGGTAATATATAATTTGTCACAATGTTATGTAATAATAAATAATATATATAAAGTAGTATTATACATTTTTACATTTTAGTCATTTAGCAGACGCTCTTATCCAGAGCGACTTTCACTCAACTTCTGGCATTGCTTCACTTTCAAGTGCTCTGAAACATTTTTAAAACCAAAGTGCACACAGTCATCTTTTACACATTTTCAAAACCGGAAATGGCACAATAAAATAAATAAAAAGGCAACATAACGGTTGTCAGGATAGTGAAATACTTCAACTAGAGGTCTGCGTTCATTTTTTAAAAAGATGGCTCAGTAATCTGAGGAAGAGAGAAGATGGACACACCAGTTATACCGTTGATCATAGACCATTGATTGTTGTTAACATGTCATATCATCACTCTTCTAAAACATGACACCACTGCAAGGCAGTAGTGAATAGTATATCATGTATAATATTACTTAACAACATGTAATAATAGTTATTTTACTACTCCAAGGTCAACATGGCGGGCAGCGACCTGGCCTGCTTCGATGCTGTGAAAGACGACGACTGGCTCAAAGGGTCCTTCATCTCTGTGAGTTTAACTCTACTGTAAAACTCATTTTCATCTGGCTGTGTGATTTTAAACTTTAGCTCCCCCCACCCCCCCTCCGCGTTGGTCTCTGTCAGTTTGTCTTAAACAGATGCCTCGGATTTAATCTCCTCGTCTTTCTCAAAACGCATTGGAGACGGTCCAAGGGAAAGGAACCTCTGACCTTCTCCATGTGCTTTGATAAGGAGATTGGAATCCTGGAAAAATGAATTGAGACAGCTGTTGTGTTTGAAGGAAGACTACTGGAGTGGGGATGAGGCATTTTCTAAGGCATCTCTCTTCCTCTACTCTCCCTCTCCTCTTCCCCCCCTCAGACAGTGCAGCAGAGAGGTGCTGCGGTTATCGCAGCCAGGAAGCTGTCCAGTGCCATGTCTGCAGCCAAGGCTATCTGTGACCACATGAGGGACATCTGGTCAGGCACTCCTGAGGTCAGCTAAGAGGGGTCCTTACGGGATGGGACAATTCTGTGGCCTTAGATACAGATTTAGGATTAGTTTACCCTTCCCAGGTCTTCATCAATATTTGTTTTAATTGACTCATAATCTATATGGCACTCTGCTATTTACAGTATGTATGGCTGTATCCTAATTCTCCACCCTTCTCCCAGTGTGCACTTGCACACTTCCAGACAGTCATGGATTAAAAAGCAATGGAATTGTGTTATAATTGGCTATAGGGAGTTTCCACCATTGTTAAATCCATGAGATGTCTGCAGTTGCACACTTTGGGAAGAGGGTGGAGAATCGTGTTGCAGCCTGTCTTTCTGTTAATGGTTCCTGAACGCAGCCTGTCTTTGTGTTTTAATGGTTCCTGAACGCAGCGTGGAGCAGCCTGTCTTTGGGTTAATGGTTTCTGAACGCAGCGTGGAGCAGCCTGTCTTTGGGTTAATGGTTCCTGAATGCAGCGTGGAGCAGCCTGTCTTTGGGTTAATGGTTCCTGAATGCAGCGTGGAGCAGCCTGTCTTTGGGTTAATGGTTCCTGAATGCAGCCTGTCTTTGGGTTAATGGTTCCTGAATGCAGCCTGTCTTTGGGTTAATGGTTCCTGAATGCAGCCTGTCTTTGGGTTCATGGTTCCTGAATGCAGCCTGTCTTTGGGTTAATGGTTCCTGAACACAGTGTGGAACAGCCTGTCTTTGTTAATGGTTTCTGAACGCAGCCTGTCTTTGTGTTAATGGTTCCTGAACACAGCCCTAACCTCTGTCCTCTTGTTTGCAGGGAGAGTTTGTCTCCATGGGTGTCTACTCCAGCGGTAACTCCTATGGAGTCTCCGAAGACCTCATCTACTCATTCCCTGTTTACATCAAGGTGAGACAATCTGACACTCTGCTCTCTACACTCCTCCATACTAAGACTGCATTTACACAGGCAGCCCAATTCTGCTCTTTTGACCAATTATTGGCGGAAGATCTTATCTTATTGGTCGAAAGACCAATAATTGGGCAAAAGATCGGAATTGGGCTGCCTGTGTAAATGCAGTCTCAGCTCTCTTCACCACTAAACCAGAGAAATATCTGCTTCTATAAACTGATGCTCTAGTCTACGACAAACTGGATCTGTTGCAGTGGGAAGTTGATCACTTTGGCCTATTATTCAATATTATTTTTCTCCCGTCTTCGTTTCCTCAGGACAAGCAGTGGAAGATTGTGGACGGGCTGGCCATCAACGACTTCTCCCGAGGCAAGATGGACGCCACGGCAGTTGAGCTGGTGGAGGAGAGAGACACCGCCGTCACCTTCCTCAGCGCTTGACTACACTCCCAGCCACGGCAACCAACCCGGCAACAGCACTTGGACACACAACCCACACCTCCAGACTCACGTCTGTGATGCCGCATTCACGTGCTACTCGGAACTTAGGAGACTGGAATATCCAACTTGGAAGTTCCGTATGAACGGTTTAACTTTATACGCTTTACAGCAGTTCTTTAGACCTGATTTTTTTGAGTTTCTGGTAATTCTGATAGCACATGAACATGGCATTATACAGTCCCTGTTGCAGCTCTGTGTGTGTCTAAAATGGTTTAATGTTACACACATCTGAACAGGTTATCCCTGTTTGGATGGTTACCATGCTTACCATGGAATGGAGGAATGTTATGGGTAGTTGATGCACTAGTAGTTACTATGACGATCATTGTTAAATGGTTAATTGTTGCTCAGTCGAGAACAATAAAACCAGTAAATGATGTATAGTCCTTATTTTGTTTCTAGATTTAACTTAATATTTTTTGGTTGTGAAATAAGTATTGGTTAAATAATCATCACTAACTTCGTAAAACATTTTAACTATTTGACATTTTCCCATTTTAAATGATGATATTCTACTATTTATCTGAATGTAATCCAACTATTTATTACAGAAGCATGTGGTTGTTATGTCATAGTCCTGCCGCTGGGGTGCAGCACATTCTAATCTGTAAATCCCAGGACAGTAAAATGTATGACGTCAATTGTTTCAAACCTCTGAATAATCTGAGAATCTGCCTGGACTCTCACTCCTGATGAAACAATAAAACATTTATCCTCAACTGATAATTTTCTCTCTCCATGTGTTCAGCAAATTTCACAATTTCTGCATAATCGAGGTTTATTAGTCCTATGAACAGTGTAGTGTCGCTATCCACAATATAATGAAGTGCTAGCTCTCAAATTCTTTCAAACAGTGCAGCATCTATAATAAAGTATTTAGTAAAACAAATATTTTAAGATTAGTCCGAGGGAGTGTCATTCAAATTTTTTAAAAGTTATATAGCCTACACCCAGAATGTCCTACATCAGATTTTGCCTGCCTTGCATTGCTTTCTGTAAACTAACTTGGTCCTTCCATTTAGCTGTTAAGGATTTATAATGCAATTCAATAATCAGAAGAATATTATTTTAAAATCACTTTTATTAGTGACATGTTAGTAAGCATTCTGTAACTTCTATTTTTACATCTGTTCCATGTTAATAGTTTGGTTCTAACCCATATACCTGTAGGTCTAGCTCAGGCAGGGGAACCTCCAGTCCTCCTGGATGGAGTGGTGTTACACTTTTCCCCCCATCCCTAGCAAACTCAGCTGATAACTATTTGCGTTCTAAACTGAAGATGATCATTAGTTGATTATTGGAGTCAGGTGTTTTTAGCTGGAGCTGGGGAAAAAATGGGACTAATCAGGCCCTGAGGACTGAAGTTGCCCATCCCTGGTCTAGCTATTAAATCATTAATGTATGAAGGTGTTGATTGACGTGGCATCAATGCCGTGGCTCTGGTGTTTGGTGTTCAGGAACCTCGTGAAAAGCTGCATTTTCATTGGGCCACAGCATTCGGATACAAGCTTTTCATTGGTCCTTGTTTTAGAATGACATTTCTACGTATCGTTTTGATAAGATTAATCTAATATAGTGTTTTTGTGTGAACTAATTACTAAAACACCTGCCCAATATTCAATACAATGTGTTGTATGTCATTTTAATGTAAATAAACTCGCAAAGGGACATTAGTTGTGCTAATTTCCCCGGTCGTGTCCGTACTTGGACTAGCCCATCGCACGATTTTCCTGCCGCCAACATCCCACAAGCCAAACAGTAAGGAAATGCATTTATTAGCTAAATTAAATTGTCCAATACCTTGCTGGGTGCCAATAATCATAACTGTCGTCGTAAAAGAGAAGTTACATGAGTAGCCCAATAGCACTACGAGTGGTTTGATCTTCAGTGAATTTGTAGGCCTATTATTGGGTAGGCGATCTAAATTGTCATAGGATATTCTGAATGAATTGGAAAATGAATAGAAACAGTAGCCAGTTGATCTGGTCATTTTGTTTAGCAATAATGTTGCAATGTTCTTTTCTAAATCATGTATCTTTCGTTGTTGATGTGTAGGCTATGCAACAACACAGTGTAACAACCTGGCCTCATCATTTCCGCATCCACCGTTCTAACATTCGGGAATGTAACTAACAAGTCGATTCGATACACCACTAGGCTACATTTATTTTAAGGTTTATGGGTCGGGTCTATGCTGGCTTTTATTAATATGTTACTGATTTACTGTATCTATCTAATTGCCTACGCTAGGCTATCTGAATATATGGAAGAAATCATGGGGGCGAGTCTAAAGCAAGAGGGGGAGTAGATTCGTAGAAGCAAATGCCGCGTTCAAAACCACTGGGAATTTGGGAAATCTCCGACTTCAGTGCGTTCAAGACAACTGGGAACTCGAAAAAAAAACGGTAATTTAACTCGGAATTCCAAGTCGAAAACTAGGGCATCTTTCTAGAGGTCCGACTTTCGCACCTGAAGATCACTGACGTCATGATTTGGCTTTTTTTTTTTATTATTTTGAGTTCCAAGTTGTCTTGAAAGCACCAAAATATCCAGAGCCAGCCTGGGAGGAAATGTGACGTGGTTTATTTGCCTGGGAAAGGGGCAGACCCGAAACCCCATACAATGCATAGGCTAATTGTATCTGTGAAATATAGCCTATATAAATACCAATAGTTAGGCTATGGTCGGGCCTCGGGCCTTTCATTTGGCTCAAGTCACGTGTGATAAACGATTGATCGAATAAAGGTCGCGTTGCCACGCTTTGGAAAGTGCGGGCGGTGGAGGAGTTGCGAAAAGGATTTCATTCGTGAGAGAGGAGAGCTCTAGCAAGTTATGGCTTCAGCAGTCCATTTTGCACTGGGGTGGCCATATAGATGAATGGCTGAATGACCATTTGGGGTTATACAAAACAAAATACTATTTTTTTTCTGGAATATGTCTTAGATTTTATGGGACTATTTGAACAATTTCGTTTCAATATAGTTCTAGTTTTATAACCTTGATGACTTGATAGGCTACCTAGTGGACCTACCAATATTGGATTTGTACAGAACATTTTACCTCCATAGGTGACTTCTTATTATTGAACATTTTTAACATTTCGGAATATGGCACTTTATTTTGAAGGTAAGCGATTGTGTGGATGCAGCCTACTACAATGATGAAGAATGAATACCAGAATGAATGTATCGAAAATAATTTTTACAGTTTCTACTTGCACATTGTCTGGAGACACTGTCTAAAGTACCAACTAGTGTTTTAATGAATACTTTTAAGTGCTATCCTCTGGGAATACAATGTACATATTGTTGTATATGTTTTTACCCAAAGTAATTCAATGTAATTCAATAACAATGAATAGGCGTGGCTAATTGGTTGAATCTTGCTATTCATCACTTGAAAGGGACCTTATTACCGTTTGATCTCAGGCTATGCCTAACAAATTAGCTCCCACTTCTTACTGTAGTGTTGAATTCCAAACTTGCACGCTGACAGGGTGAGAATAGGTACCCCCACTAGATCCTCCATAGCAGAGCTAGCTGTTCTTTCTCATTTACATTACATTTACGTCATTTAGCAGACGCTCTTATCCAGAGCGACTTACACATTTCTCCTCTGACATCTTTAAAGTAATATAACTGTAGAAGCCTATGTTATTAGAGCATACAGTAGTTGGGTTACACATTGCCGTTGTTGTCCAATCATGGCAGCAGTTTGGTAGCCCCAGCCTCTAGTTGGGCTAGACATTACCGTTGTTGTCCAATCATGGCAGCAGTTTGGTAGCCCCAGCCTCTAGTTGGGCTAGACATTACCGTTGTTGTCCAATCATGGCAGCAGTTTGGTAGCCCCAGCCTCTAGTTGGGCTAGACATTACCGTTGTTGTCCAATCATGGCAGCAGTTTGGTAGTCCCAGCCTGCCATATACTCACTCCTTTTGGTTTTTCCCCCTCAGTCACTCACACCATATAGGAACCACTGCCTCATGATAGCTTATTAGAAATGACCGTTTCAGATGTCCCAAAACCACAGAACAAGTCACAGCTTTGACATGTAGCCTATTCAAAATAGAACTCACAGCTTTGACATGTAGCCTATTCAAAATAGAACTCACAGCTTTGACATGTAGCCTATTCAAAATGGAACTCACAGCTTTGACATGTAGCCTATTCAAAATGGAACTCACTGGTCAAAGTCTATTTCCTGGTAGTGGAATAGAGCTGTTGTGTTATTGTTGCACTAGACTATGCTATTACTAATCTTATAGATACGTTATAGGGAGATGGGGAAATACTACACGTGTGTAACAGTGGCTGGACCTATGGACCAACAAACCAACAGGGAGCTAGATACTCCATATAGAGCTATTGACTTGTAGGTTAGGCCTAATACCTAAGCTTGGATGCCAACTTAAAGTGATTGACTGAAACAAGTGAACGGGAGACAAAACCATGTTTCTATCGATCTACAACCCATCACAATGAATAGACATTATTTATTCCAAATTCCACTCCAGGGCTAGAGGCACAGCTATAGCCTACATAAGGATATAACTAGCTCTGGTCCAAGGTGTTTACAATAGCCTACATAAGGATATAACTAGCTCTGGTCCAAGGTGTTTACAATAGCCTACATAAGGATATAACTAGCTCTGGTCCAAGGTGTTTACAATAGCCTACATAAGGATATAACTAGCTCTGGTCCAAGGTGTTTACAATAGCCTACATAAGGATATAACTAGCTCTGGTCCAAGGTGTTTACAATAGCCTACATAAGGATATAACTAGCTCTGGTCCAAGGTGTTTACAATAGCCTACATAAGGATATAACTAGCTCTGGTCCAAGGTGTTTACAATAGCCTACATAAGGATATAACTAGCTCTGGTCCAAGGTGTTTACAATAGCCTACATAAGGATATAACTAGCTCTGGTCCAAGGTGTTTACAATAGCCTACATAAGGATATAACTAGCTCTGGTCCAAGGTGTTTACAATAGCCTACATAAGGATATAGCTAGCTCTGGTCCAAGGTGTTTACAATAGCCTACATAAGGATATAGCTAGCTCTGGTCCAAGGTGTTTACAATAGCCTACATAAGGATATAACTAGCTCTGGTCCAAGGTGTTTACAATAGCCTACATAAGGATATAACTAGCTCTGGTCCAAGGTGTTTACAATAGCCTACATAAGGATATAACTAGCTCTGGTCCAAGGTGTTTACAATAGCCTACATAAGGATATAACTAGCTCTGGTCCAAGGTGTTTACAATAGCCTACATAAGGATATAGCTAGCTCTGGTCCAAGGTGTTTACAATAGCCTACATAAGGATATAGCTAGCTCTGGTCCAAGGTGTTTACAATAGCCTACATAAGGATATAACTAGCTCTGGTCCAAGGTGTTTACAATAGCCTACATAAGGATATAACTAGCTCTGGTCCAATGGGATTTAGTTTGTCTCTTTCATCTCACTGTTGGCCGAGGCACAGAGCTCTGTCTGTCCATGGGTTGTGGTTAGGTTAGATTTCTCATCCACACATGTACACACACACACTCCTGTTCTGCAGCAGCGGTACACCTTCTATGATTACTTCTCTCTAAGGAAGGCTTCCCACCCTGGAAAATTAGAGGGTTTCATGCGCCAGAGTTCTCTGTCCACTCGTGCAGTCATTTGCTCTCTTGCTTTCTTGAATACCTGTATACTCTCTCTTCTCGCTCTCTCAGTCTCTGTGTGTGTGTGTGTGTGTGTTTGTTGTTAATGAGTTGAGTGATAGATCGCCAGAACTTTCCTAGAAGTCACACCTAGGGCTGTTACGGTGACCGTTTTACCGCCACACCGGTTGTCACGAGTCATGAAGGCATTCAAATTCCATGTGACCGTTTAGTCACGGTAATTAGGCTTCTCCAAGCTCTGATGCTGCTGATGGTCATTAGTAGCCTACCAAACTTGCTAACTGCCTGGTATTCAGCACTCTATTGTCCCTCTAATCACTCTGACGTCAATGCAAATGTAATACAAAATCTAATCAAACACTTAATGAGAGCCCATGAGCTCATGTTGCACAACATTTCTATAGGCTATGCAATTGAGTGAGAAAACAGAGTGATGGCCGCTATTAAAAAGAGGAGGATCCCATCAGCTGTCTATAGGCTAGGCCTGCTATATTTATTTCTCAACTTTCCTAATATTAAGCACACTGCTTCTCTTTACAACAGGAGTATAGCCTACCTGGCTAACATGAAAATGAACCACGGGAAAAGCGTCCTCCATTCGCTATTTAAGTGTTTAGATTACATGTATTTTTTCCCCCTGATTTGAGACGGTGCATGATAATGGTCCATTCTAAATCAAAACAAATTTTACACATATTATTTAGTATATGTAAAGACAAGATTAAATCAAGAATAGTCTGATGGGTGACAATATTAGCCTATCACTTGTGAATTATATATTATCACTTGTGAATGATGCCCAGCGTAAGGCAAGAAACAATGCCTTTTTCTGCGACCTTTTTCAAATAGCCTAGCTCATAGGCCTATATGTTTTGATAAGGATTGTATCACAACTAAAGTGGCCAAATAACTTCTTAAAATTAAGCACATTCATCCCCTTTACAAGGGGTGTAGAGCCTAACTTGCATACATAAGCAGCGTGTGAGTTTCAAGTTTGGGGAAGATAATTTTCACCATAAAAATGCACCTTTATAATAAAAGCATTACATGCATAATCGCATTTGCGGTCACTTTTGATAATGGTGTTTTCCCGCTAATGAACATTCACGCTTATAGTCTACTTCCGTTTGCGCATTGCTGTGCTTATAATGTGAAGAAATAGCCTAATAGTTTATCAACATTTTAAGCTAAATGTTCTGATCTGTTGCATCAGCCTTTTTCCCCCAGTTTTTTTATGCTAGTGGTTGTATTAATTTGAGATCTATCACATCCCACAACTGTCCCAGACTATGTTTGGAATATTTATTTATTGCACAGAATAGAATAGGTCAACTTTTGTACTATGGGGGTTAATAGATTGACATAGGCTAATGCTTTTGCTGTTCGTTAGGCCTACTCATCTTGTTGGCTGACGAAAAGTAAATGTGGACAGTTCTTCCAAAATCTTCAATATGCACCTCGGCATTGGAAAAGGACACGTGCAGTTGTGTCCCCGATGTGTCTGTCTTCACTTGTAGCCTGTGAGAAAGACACGATCACGTGATGGAGAGCCATGTGAGTGAGAGGTGCTTCGGAGCACGCAGCACTCAGGGAGAAGATAATTATTATATTTAGCCCGAGGGCACAACGGCCACTGGCCGCAAAAGGCATGGATTTTTTTAGGGGGCATTACTGCCACAAAGGGGTTGCCGCTGGGAAATTTGATGCATTATCAAGTGCTTGTCAAATTGTGAATGAGAGACTGATGAAGTGTGTGCAGCCTGCGCAAAACCAAAGCAGAGGGCCTCCGGAGTGGCGCAGCGGTCTAAGGCACTGCATCGTAGTGCTTGAGGCGTCACTACAGACCCGGGTTCAATCGTGTCCGGGAGAGCCATGGGGCGGCGCACAATTGGCCCAGCGTCGTCCGGGTTAAGGGAGGGTTTGGCCGGCCGGGATTTCCTTGTCCCATCGCGCTCCAGCGACTCCTGTCGCTAGTTGTACGGTGTTTCCTCCGACACATTGGTGCGGATGGCTTCCGGGTTAAGCGTGTCGTGTGTCAAGAAGCAGTGCGGGGTGAAAATACCCCAAAGAAACCAGAGCTCATGCCTTTTCAAGCGACTTTTTTCAAATCATCATTAGAGTCACATCATGCCTTACGATGTATTAAACATCAAAACATATAGCCCAACGTTTGTAGAACTAAAGTTACATAAATAACTCTACATTTAGCATATAGGAGGACCTGTTTCTTAGTTAACCGCTCAACACAGAATAGCCACATGTGCGCACTCCATCAAATCGTTTGGAGAAAATAGCCTTTCTATTTTATTCAGCTTTGTTCAATTGTATTCTTCATACTATAAAATAATGCCACAGAATTCTATGCAAATCTTGTCTGCTAAATGAACTAGTGTAGCCCACAGCCATATGGCTTAGCCAGATCAGGACCTAACATAAGGATATGCTATTCTGTTCTTCTGAAATAGACTACGTTTTCTTCATATCATGTTCTTTAGACCTATCTAAAATAAATAATAGATGTATTGTGAAGGTGTAGGCTATATTACATGGATTTATTAGACTTTTTAAAATGTAGATATTCAAAAGGTCTGCATCAGTGGCTTGTAGGCTATGTGTGGAAGACAGGAGATAGATGCTAAATGTGTTTATGTTAATTTACTGTCAATTACCGTGAGACCGGCAGTTATTTGCTTGACAATCACCGGCTGACAATTTCGTGACCGCCACAGCCCTAGCCACAGCCCTAGCCACAGCCCTAGCCACACCCAGATAACTAAGTTTTGTTCATTAGGGCACACACCTTGTTTCACTGCTTTTTTTCTCAGTTTGTTGCCTAGTGAACATGACCAGAACTCACAACAGGTACTACTAGTCCATGACAGCTGTTCAGTGACATTCATACCATACATTGTTGAGAATTAAAGTGGATTACAACATGCAAATCTAATAAGACAGTAGCTACTTGGAATGCATAACATTCCATAACCTGACAGGAGTCAAACCACATTCTAGTAACAGGCTTGATTAACATTGTAGAGAGTCCGGTAGAGCGGGTTCTAGAAGATGGAACCTGCAGGATCCGGTAGAGTAGGTTCTAGAAGATGGAACCTACAGGATCCGTCGCCATGCTGCTCCACTTCTTGTGTTGTGTTTTCACCTTTTGAACGAAAACAAGCAAAGAGCAATTTCTCAAGCAAGAATTTCGCTAGGACTGTCTTGGAGTGGGTTGAGTGGGAAGTGGAAAACGGACAATTTGCTGTTATTGGCTGAGAGGTTTAGAACTAATTTACGGCCTGGTGATGTCACCATGGACGGCAAACTCCCTCCCACCAAAGCAGGCTGAAGTTCCAGGCAGTCTTCTCAAACAGCTCTTACACTAAAATTGCATTATGATAATTTTCACAATTTCACAGTATTATTCCAACCTCATAGTGTGGAAATATATATATATATAAAACACAGGAAAATCACATTTTTTACTGCACTTGGCTTTTGCCTCGGTACCCACATTTAACCAGATTGTGTAATTTGTTATAAATGTAGCAATTATATTTGAAAAGGGAACACAATTCTCACCTCTTTCATTGTAAATAACTCCATATAGCTCATATTCTTGATGACGAATGTTGGCAAGCTCACTGGTTTGAGACCACTAAATCAACCAAATCCGCTAAATAGTGCTGCTAATAACTCTTTATTTAAAATATGGCATGTGATTAAAGAGGAGAAGGTGTTTCACCTGTGGTTTTCTGGTCCAGGTCTGAGTGAGTGATAAGAAGGTGCTAAAGCAGAAGAGTCTGTGTGCTCTTGGATAGTAATACTAGTTAATATGGTTGATCTACATCCTATATCCCTCCATGTTATAGTTCATCCCTGTGGTGTCTTCCTGGTCCAGGTCTGAGTGTCTAAGGTGTCTCCCCTGTATTTCCTGGTCCAGGTCTGAGTGTCTTAAGGTGTCTCCCCTGTATTTCCTGGTCCAGGTCTGAGTGTCTAAGGTGTCTCCCCTGTATTTCCTGGTCCAGGTCTGAGTGTCTAAGGTGTCTCCCCTGTATTTCCTGGTCCAGGTCTGAGTAAGGGTGTGCCTAACGGAGTTGACGTTGTGTTACAGGTCTGAGTAAGGGTGTGCCTAACGGAGTTGACGTTGTGTTACAGGTCTCAGTAAGGGTGTGCCTAACGGAGGGATGGCCCAGTTTCAGGAGGTGATGAGGCAGCAGCTGGAGACCTCCATGCACACGGAGCTGGAGAAACTACTGGACACTGCCACAGGGGGCGACAAGGAGGTACACACACTTCTCCCTCTCCCTGGGTCAATCTGGGAGGGATTGTGGCAGTCAGGACAGTGACACATACTGAAGCAGAGTGTCAGAGAGAGTCCGCCCTCTCTCTCTCTCTCTCACACACACACAGCATTTACAACCATTACGTTTATTTCACACAGACAAACATGCAGTTATGACATACACACACATAAGCACTTCACATCAATGAGGTGTATATACACATTCAAAACACATGAAAACCATATTCATATTGGTTGGCTTTGAACAGAAATGCTGTTTGATGATGTGTTATAAATCTACTCATCGATAAATCAACCATATTCCATAAACTATGAACTATGATAACATTCAGCCTACGCCTCAGATTATATTTGCATGCTTTTTCATCTATACTATGCAGACCTGGGTTGAAATACTATTTAAAATCTTTCAAACATCTTGAGCGTTTGCTTTAGCCTGCCTGGAGTGCCAGGTGGGCGGAGTTAGCTTTTTTGAGACTTTCTTTATTGGTTCCATTGCAACAGGCAAGCTCAATCTAATACAGATACAGTATTTGAAATGATTTCGCATATTATTTGCACCCAGGTCTGATGCTGTGGTATAAAGATGTTCAGACTGACTGTGTTTATGTTATAGTCCAATTTTAATTTGACGTTAATGTACCTAGTATTTACCAAGGAGCTATCTGGTAACATTAATAATTCAATGCTATTGGTAACTGGTGCCCAATGATACTTAGTGGTGGTGGCTTCACTGAACTCTAAAGAAACAAAACAGAAGTTACGAGGTAAATACTATGTAAATACCACCATTTTACATTCAATCTCTTGAGTAAATACCAGGTTAATAGAGGACTGTAAAACAAATTAAGTAGTTGTTGTAGCACACAGCCTCTTTCTGTCTATATGTATGATACAACAAGTAACCCAGCCTCTCTCTGTCTATATGTATGATACAACAAGTAACCCAGCCTCTCTTTGTCTATATGTATGATACAACAAGTAACCCAGCCTCTCTCTGTCTATATGTATGGTACAACAAGTAACCCAGCCTCTCTCTGTCTATGTTTGTATGCCACCTGGGGAGAACGGAATATGCTGAAGACACATTTTTGTTGCTCATGTAGTAAATATATGTATTTTTTTTGTATTTTTCGTATATATTTCCCTATCACACTTTTCATCCTTCTATTAAATATACTTTCTTACAACCCGCCTCACTCAATGTGGAACGGATTCTATTATTGACGTACCCTTTATCTAGAATCTCCAGTTGAAACTAGCTAGCCAGCTAACTAGCTACTTGCTATTAGCCACCATTAGCGGTTTTCACCCAGAACATCGTATTTTCTGCCGGAATAACTGAATCACTGGACCTTAACACCGGATCGCAACTAGCTAGCCGCAACCGAATGGATGTTGCTGTTGGCTAATCACCACTGCCCCTGAAGCAAGCACCAGTTAGCCTTGAGCTAGCCTCGAGCCAGGCCCATATCCCGGCTATCTACCTCTCTGTCTACCGGACAGGAGTAGCCAGCTAACTAGCTACTTGCTATTAGCCACCGTTAGCGTTTTTTCACCATTGTCCGTGGCCTGCACTACCTACCAGCCAGCTCTAGCCTGGACTATTATGGGCCAGTCTGCACAGCGCGTTATCAACCCAGAACATATCGGATTTTCTGCCGGAATCACTGAATCACTGGACCTTTAACACCGGATCATCGCAACTAGCTAGCTGCAACCAAATGGATGTTGTTGGCTAATCAGCCTTGAGCTAGCCTCGAGTCAGACCCATCTGCCGGCTATCTACCTCTCTGTCAACATGACGGGACCTCCTAGAGTCGACACGGAGCCCCGCCGATCCATCACGACTGGTCTGCTGACGTAATCGTCTGTGGTTTCAACAGGCTTCCCGTTGCGATGACCATGTAGATCCATCTGCTAGCCCCGGCCCGCTAGCACACGCAAACAACAGCCGTGCTTCCTGCTTGCCTGTGCTGTAGCACCAATTCAAACTGCTCTCGGACTCACATATTGCTGTTCACTGGACCTTTATGATCACTCAGCTGCACAGCTGATGCCTGCTGGACTGTTCCTTTACACGGTACCCTGTCCTGTTTATCTGTTTAGCCTCAGCCCAAACTTTCATCGCCATTACCAGTTGTTGTCTTAGCTCTCTCGAATAACACCTGTGATTGCTTTATGCCTCTCTCCCATGTCAATATGCCTTGCCTATTGCTGTTCCAGTTAGTTCTTATTATACAATTTCACTGTAGAGCCCCAAGTCCCTCTCAAACTGCCTCAAATAGCTCCTTTGGTCCACCCCCCCATACACGCGGAGACCGGCTCAATCGGTGCCTCCAGTCATGCTATCTCTTTCATTGTTCCCCAACGCTTAGGTTTACCTCCACTGTACTCATATCCTTACATATCCTTGTCTGTACATAATGCCCTGAATCTATTCTACAACGCCTGGAAATCTGCCCCCTTTATTCTCTGTACCCAACGCACTAGAAGACCAGTTCTTAAAGCCTTTAGCCGTATCCTTATTCTAGTCCTCCTCTGTTCCTCTGGTGATGTAGAGGTTAACTCAGGCCCTGCAGCCCCCAGTATCACTCCTACTCCCCAGGAGCTATCATTTGTTGACTTCTGTAACCGTAAAAGCCTTGGTTTTTTGCATGTTAATATCAGAAGCCTCATCCCTAAGTTTGAGTTATTCACTGCGTTAGCACACTCCGCCAACCCTGATGTTCTAGCAGTGTCTGAATCCTGGCTTAGGAAGGCCACCAGAAATTCAGAAATGTCCCTCCCCAACTACAACATTTTCCGTCTAGATAGAACTGCCAAAGGGGGTGGAGTTGCAATCTACTGTAGAGAGAGCCTGCAGAGCTCTATCATACTATCCAGGTCTGTGCCCAAACAGTTTGAGCTTCTACTTCTAAAAATCCACCTTTCCAGAAATAAGTCTCTCACTGTTGCCGCTTGCTACAGACCCCCCTCAGCCCCCAGCTGTGCCCTGGACACCATATGTGAATTGATTGCCCCCCATCTATCCTCAGATTTCGTACTGCTTGGTGACCTAAACTGGGATATGCTTAACACCCCGGCCGTCCTACAATCCAAACTAGATGCCCTCAATCTCCCACAAATTATCAAGGAACCTACCAGGTACAACCCTAAATCCGTAAACATGGGCACCCTTATAGATATCATCCTGACTAATTTACCCTCTAAATACACCTCCGCTGTCTTCAACCAGGATCTCAGCCATCACTGCCTTATTGCCTGCGACCGTAATGGGCCCGTGGTCAAACGCTCCCTAAAACAATTTAGCGAGCAGGCCTTCCTAATTGACCTGGCCCAGGTATCCTGGATGGATATCGATCTCATTCCGTCAGTAGAGGATGCCTGGTTGTTCTTTAAAAGTGCTTTCCTCTCAATCTTAAATAAGCATGCCCCATTCAAAAAAAATCAGAACTAACAACAGATATAGCCCCTGGTTCTCCTCAGACTTGACTGCCCCTGACCAGCACAAAAACCTCCTGTGGCGAACCGCATTAGCATCGAATAGCCCCCGCGATATGCAACTTTTCAGGGAAGTTAGGAACCAATATACACAAGCAGTTAGGAAAGCAAAGGCTAACTTTTTCAAACAGAAATGTGCGTCCTGTAGCACTAACTCCAAAGAGTTTTGGGACACTGTAAAATCCATGGAGAATAAGAGCACCTCCTCCCAACTGCCCACTGCACTGAGGCTAGGAAACACTGTCACCACCGATAAATCTACAATAATCGAGAATTTCAACAAGCATTTTGCTATGGCTGGCCATGCTTTCCACCTGGCTACCACTACCCCGGCCACCAGCTCTACACCCTCCGCTGCAACTTGCCCATGCCCCCCCCCCCCCCCGCTTCTCCTTCACACAAACTCAGACAGCTGATGTTCTGAAAGAGCTTCAAAATCTGGACCCCTACAAATCATCTGGGCTAGATAATCTGGACCCTTTCTTTCTAAAATTAGCCGCCGAAATTGTCGCAACCCCTATTACTAGCCTGTTCAACCTCTCTTTTGTAACATCTGAGATCCCCAGAGATTGGAAAGCTGCCGCGGTCATCAAAGGGGGTGACACTCTAGATCCAAACTGTTACAGACCTATATCCATCCTGCCCTGCCTTTCGAAAGTTTTTGAAAGCCAAGTTAACAAACAGATCACCGACCATTTCGAATCACACTGTACCTTCTCCGCTATGCAATCCGGTTTCCGAGCTGGTCATGGGTGCACCTCAGCCACGCTCAAGGTCCTAAACGATATTATAACCGCGATCGATAATAGACAGTACTGTGCAGCCGTCTTCATCGACCTGGCCAAGGCTTTTGACTCTTGTCAACCACCACATTCTCATTGGCAAACTAAATAGCCCTGGTTTCTCAAATGACTGCCTCGCCTGGTTCACCAACTACTTCTCAGATAGAGTTCAATGTGTCAAATCGGAGGGCCTGTTGTCTGGACCTATGGCAGTCTCTATGGGTTGCCAAAGGGTTCAATTCTAGGGCCGACTCTTTTCTCTGTGTATATCAATGATGTCGCTCTTGCTGCTGGTGACTCTCAGATCCACCTCTACGCAGACGACACCATTTTGTATACATCTGGCCCTTCATTGGACACTGTGTTAACAAACCTCCAAACGAGCTTCAATGCCATACAACACTCCTTCCTATTTCGCAACAAAGCCTCCTTCAATCATGCTGCCAAACATGCCCTCGTAAAACTGACTATCCTACCGATCCTTGACTTCGGCGATGTCATTTACAAAATAGCCTCCAACACTCTACTCAGCAAATTGGATGTAGTCTATCACAGTGCCATCCGTTTTGTCACCAAAGCCCCATATACTACCCACCACTGTTGGCTGGTCCTCACTACATATTCGTTGCCAAACCCACTGGCTCCAGGCCATCTATAAATCACTGCTAGGCAAATCCCCATCTTATCTTAGCTCATTGGTCACCATAGCAACACCCACCCGTAGTATGCGCTCCAGCAGGTATATCTCACTGGTCATCCCCAAAGCCAACACCTCCTTTGGCTGTCATTCCTTCCAGTTCTCTGCTGCCAATGACTGGAACGAACTGCAAAAATCTCTGAAGCTGGAGACTCTTATCTCCCTCACTATCTTTAAGCATCAGTTGTCAGAGCACCTTACCGATCACTGCACCTGTACACAGCCCATCTGAAATTAGGCCACCCAACTACCTCATCCCCATATTGTTATTTATTTTGCTCATTTGCACCCCAGTATCTCTATTTGCACATCATCTCTTGCACATCTATCATTCCAGTGTTAATACTAATTGTAACTATTTTGCACTATGGCCTATTTATTGCCTTACCTCCATAACTTACTACATTTGCACACACTGTATATATATTTTCTGTTGTATTTTTGACTTTATGTTTTGTTTTACCCCATATGTAACTCTGTGTTGTTTTTATTGCACTGCTTTGCTTTATCTTGGCCAGGTTGTAGTTGTAAATTACCAGGCTTACCTGGTTAAATAAAGGTAAAATAAAATAAAATAAAGTAATGTTGTTCTTCTAACGTATACTCCTTGTGTATTCCAGATCTCCAAGAAGGACTTTGAAGGATTCAAGAAGCTGTTTCACAGGTTTCTGCAGGTGAAGGGGCCATCGGTGGACTGGCCCAAGATACACAGACCTCCAGAAGACTCAGTAAGGCTCAAACAAAAACCCTGTGTGTGTCTGAGTGTGTGTGTCTGTGCGTGCATATAATGTACATTGTGTGTGTGTGTGTGTGTGTGTGTGTGTGTGTGTGTGTGTGTGTGTGTGCGTGTGTGTGTGTGTGTGTGTGTGTGTGTGTGTGTGTGTCTGTGAGCTCATCAGTGAGTGGTCCAGTAATACGGTGTGATGAAGTGGACTCTATCAGGCAGATGGGCACAGTGGAGGCCAAGGGGAGAGCTCACACAGAGAGGCCAGCGTTTGGGTCTCTTCCTCTGGGCACGCAGCCAGCTGGCTCCCCCTGTCTGCCAGAGCTCCCTCCACAACCCCCAAGCTTTCTCTCACAACTGACTGGGACCAGAAACCCAGACCAGAGAAGAGACAGAATAGAGAGAGAGAGACAGAATAGAGAGAGAGAGATACAGAATAGAGAGAGAGGGAGAGAGAATAGAGAGAGAGAGAGAGACAGAATAGAGAGAGAGAGAGAGAGAGAGAGACAGAATAGAGAGAGAGAGAGAGAGAGAGAGAGAGAGACAGAATAGAGAGACACAGAATAGAGAGAGACACAGAATAGAGAGAGAGAATAGAGAGAGAGAGAGAGACAGAATAGAGAGAGAGAGAGACAGAATAGAGAGAGAGAGAAAGACAGAATAGAGAGAGAGAGAGAGAAAGACAGAATAGAGAGAGAGAGAGACCGAATAGAGAGAAAGAGAGAGAGAGAGAGAGGAATGTCTCATTACAATACGTTTTGTGGATAGGGAGAGGAAGTGACAGAGAGGGAGCACCTTAAGAGATTGAGATTTTTCGTGCACATTTTCGTTTACGTGTAGCACTGCACATATACAGTGGGGGAAAAAGTATTTAGTCAGCCACCAATTGTGCAAGTTCTCCCACTTAAAAATATGAGAGAGGCCTGTAATTTTCATCAAATACTTATTTTCCACCATAATTTGCAAATAAATTCATAAAAAATCCTACAATGTGATTTTCTGGAATTTCTTTTCTCATTTTGTCTGTCATAGTTGACGTGTACCTATGATGAAAATTACAGGCCTCTCTCATCTTTTTAAGTGGGAGAACTTGCACAATTGGTGGCTGACTAAATACTTTTTTCCCCCACTGTACATTTGTGTGTGTGTGAGAAAGAGGTGGGGCTGGGTGTGAAATGACCATTGATGTCTTTGTTGCTATGTACCAGCAGTCTTCAAAATGAGTGATGGGTAGTATGTATGTGTGTGATGTTGGGGTGTTTGAGTGTTTTACAAGCAATTTGTGATGTATGACTTGAGGGTGTGTGTTCTGCATACGTGAGGAGAGCAGAGCCTAAAGATCCTTTAATCACATGATCTATTCTATGTCACAGAGTCACAGGGCTCCATACTAACATGTTCTATTCTATGTCACAGAGTCACAGGGCTCCATACTTACATGTTCTATTCAATGTCACAGAGTCACAGGGCTCCATACTAACACGTTCTATTCTATGTCACAGAGTCACAGGGCTCCATACTAACATGTTCTATTCTATGTCACAGAGTCACAGGGCTCCATACTAACATGTTCTATTCTATGTCACAGAGTCACAGGGCTCCATACTAACATGTTATATTCTATGTCACAGAGTCACAGGGCTCCATACTAACATGTTCTATTCTATGTCACAGAGTCACAGGGCTCCATACTAACATGTTCTATTCTATGTCACAGGGCTCCATACTAACATGTTCTATTCTATGTCACAGAGTCACAGGGCTCCATACTAACATGTTCTATTCTATGTCACAGAGTCACAGGGCTCCATACTAACATGTTATATTCTATGTCACAGAGTCACAGGGCTCCATACTAACATGTTCTATTCTATGTCACAGAGTCACAGGGCTCCATACTAACATGTTCTATTCTATGTCACAGGGCTCCATACTAACATGTTCTATTCTATGTCACAGAGTCACAGGGCTCCATACTAACATGTTCTATTCTATGTCACAGAGTCACAGGGCTCCATACTAACATTTTCAGTTGGTGGCAGCCTATGATTTGGTCACACCACAATTACTGTGGGGTCACGCAATAGAACAAATTAGTAGCCTCATCGTTTTATAAAGTTATTCAAAGTGTTTCATGCAGAAGTGTACTAGACTACGATATGATTCCAGAAATAAAAATGTTATTCTAACATCATGTTCAAGCACGAATGCATGATTGTAGATATTTTGATGTGCAACCTAAACCAGTGATTGTCATGAATTTAGGGTTTGACAACTAGGCAATTGTTGTTATTATTTTACGATCAAAATAGGGTTAAATCTTTTTGGGCACTAATATCACGTAGGTTAATTAATTTAATTCAGTTCCACTATTCTTTTGGAGGGTTCCACCATTCTTTTGGAGGGTTCCACCATTCTTTTGGAGGGTTCCACCATTCTTTTGGAGGGTTCCACCATTCTTTTGGAGGGTTCCACCATTCTTTGGATGGTTCCACCATTCTTTGGATGGTTCCACCATTCTTTGGAGGGTTCATCTTGCTCTCACTGCTGTTCCTCCGTATTTATTAAAAACAAAAAGAGATAGAATTGACCAATCTCCTTTTGATCTTCTTTCAGATTTTTTTTCACTTTCTGATAAGACAGTGGGAAGTTACAAAGAGATAAGGGCTTGACAGAAAGACTGAGATGGGGTCCGGAGTAGGCAGCGCTTCCATTAGAACAGACTCCAGCACAACCTCCCTATTCTTCAGAGTTCTTTTAGCTGCCATTGCTGTTCATTGTAAACCAAGCCTGTACACCTGGGCTAGGTAGCTTTTCTGTCACCTTGGATAGTTGTCTTGAAAACCCTCAACAATAGAAAAAGGTATTCTTCTGGTTCTAAGGTAACTGTGTAGAGCTCACTAGTATAAAGAGAGGGGGAGAGGTTCCTTTCTTGTGGAATTATTTTATAATTCTCCACATCGTCATAGGAAATTCTATCTGGTAACCTGTATATCCTGTTTCTGACACGTCAGCTTCACTGTGAGATGATAAAAAGGTCATTTACCAATGTTAAAGCGGCAATCAGTAGTAGAAACAATAACAAAGTGAGTTCCCCGCCCGTTTCGGTAAAAAGCTTAGGGATGAGGCTGGAGTAATTCAACCACTCTCAAATTCATAGACGGAGCATCCATGATATCAAAATTATAGTTTTAACCATGTTTTGAGGCTATATAGTGCTTGTTTACTTTGATTACAAACATTGGAGTAAAACAAGTTTCTATTTTGGTTTCTGATGGGGTACAACAGTTGAACTAAGCTCATGAGGCATTTATAAGTTATATTCTTCAAGAATCATTGGGTACATGTCATTAATTAATAAGTCCAAACATTAATGTATCAACTGCTGATTGGCCCTTTTTAAGGAGCATTGTGTCATGTGGTAGTAATGACAGGTAATAGGGAGGGAGGAAGTGCCTCTTCAGCTCACATCCCCATCTCTCATCTTGGCTCCATTCAGGACCAGGTTTCTCACATGCCCATCTCTCATCTTGGCTCAGTTCAGGACCAGGTTTCTCACATCCCAATCTCTCACCTTGGCTCAGTTCAGGACCAGGTTTCTCACATCCCCATCTCTCATCTTGGCTCAGTTCAGGACCAGGTTTCTCACATCCCAATCTCTCACCTTGGCTCAGTTCAGGACCAGGTTTCTCACATCCCCATCTCTCATCTTGGCTCAGTTCAGGACCAGGTTTCTCACATCCCAATCTCTCACCTTGGCTCAGTTCAGGACCAGGTTTCTCACGTCCCCATCTCTCATCTTGGCTCAGTTCAGGACCAGGTTTCTCACATCCCCATCTCTCATCTTGGCTCAGTTCAGGACCAGGTTTCTCACATCCCCATCTCTCATCTTGGCTCAGTTCAGGACCAGGTTTCTCCAACCTTGCAAGTCTTCTCTACTTTCATCCAGGATGGCCTTTTTTAGATTAGTGTTTCTTAATCATGGTAGTGTTTGCCCCAGCACTACCCACCTGATTCAAATCATCGAAGCGTGTTGATGAGTTTATCATTTGAATCAGCTGTGTGCACCCTTTTGGGTCCCCAGGACCAGGATGAAGAAACCCTGTTTTAGATCATAATAAATAAGATGATGGACAGGGGGGACCTGATCCCAGACCAGGCCTGCTGCTCTGAATGGACAGGGGGGACCTGATCCCAGACCAGGCCTGCTGCTCTGAATGGACAGGGGGGACCTGATCCCAGACCAGGCCTGCTGCTCTGAATGGACAGGGGGGACCTGATCCCAGACCAGGCCTGCTGCTCTGAATGGACAGGGGGGACCTGATCCCAGACCAGGCCTGCTGCTCTGAATGGACGGGGGGGACCTGATCCCAGACCAGGTCTGCTGCTCTGAATGGACAGGGGGGACCTGATCCCAGACCAGGCCTGCTGCTCTGAATGGACGGGGGGGACCTGATCCCAGACCAGGCCTGCTGCTCTTCATCCAGTTGAACTGATTTGAGCTCAGTTCAAAAGCACAGTTGCTTGCTGTAGTACCGCTCAGTGCAGGGCTACTCAGTGAAAATGTCAAGATCTCACACATCCAACTTGTTCAGGTGCAATGTCTACAACTGTGATTTATTGAGACTTTATTTATTATTTATTTAACCTTTTATTTAACCAGACAAGTCAAGTTAAGATCAAATTCTTATTTAGACACACAGACAACATTTCGATCCCCCTGAGATTTTCGTCAGGTCCGATGTTGAGTTGAGGACAGACATACTCAGGATTAGGGTTTTAAATCACAGGGTTGCAATAGTTTTTTTCTCAGTATAAAAGTACAGTATTGCCATATTCTCCCTCAGTATAAAATTACAGCATTGCCATATTCTCCCTCAGTATAAAAGTACAGCATTGCCATATTCTCCCTCAGTATAAAATTACAGCATTGCCATATTCTCCCTCAGTATAAAAGTACCGTATTGCCATATTCTCCCTCAGTATAAAAGTACAGTATTGCCATAGTTTTCTCTGTTTTAAACCACAGGGTTGCCATAGTTTTCTCTGTTTTAAACCACAGTATTGCCATAGTTTTCTCTGTTTTAAACCACAGGGTTGCCATAGTTTTCTCTGTTTTAAACCACAGGGTTGCCATAGTTTTCTCTGTTTTAAACCACAGGGTTGCCATGTCTCCAGGGATGCTCTTTGAAGTCCATTCTCTGAGCTGTGTGCGTCAGTCGTACTATTGAGTATTCTAATCCAGTGCCAACACACAGTCTGCATCCCTAAGGGCACCCTATTCCCTATATAGGGGACTCTGGTCAGAAGCAGTGCACTAGATAGGGAATAGGGTGTCATTTGGGATGCACACACAGCCTTTGTGGTAATGACATCCAGAAACGGTTCCATTTCCCTTTGGTCTCTGAGCAGGGGGAGGGGGGGGGGATATGGGCTGTGTTCCAAACCAGCGTCCCAAATGGAACACTTATTCCCTTTTATAGCGCACTTTCCTTGAGACTTCACCTTGAACTCAGTCACAGTTGGGAAGGGATGGAGAATAAAGGAAAGGAAAGTGAAAGTGAAGAGGAATCAGGCATGCAGTGTTGTTGTTGGTGTGTGTGGATGTTGGGCTGTGGAGAAGTGTTTCTGGAAGGAAGATCCTTTAGTTGTGGTTTCAGTTCAGGAGCGGCCCATGTCCTCTCGATGTCTGGATGCCCCTGTATCCTCTCTGGGATGTCTTGTTGCTGTTCTGATAAACACTGACTGTCTGGAAGCAGAGTTTACATCGGGAGGAGAGGGGGAGGAGGCTAAGTGCTATGGACGACCTGAAGCTAAATTGGGCCTAGCTACTGCGCACACACAGACACACACAGACCTTCACATGCCACACACACACACCACACACACAAACACACAGACATGCACATGCCAACAACCCACACACACACCACACTAGACACTGTCACATGCACACACACACACTTAGACACTGTCACATGCACACCACACACACACAGACACTGTCACATGCACACACACACACACAGACACTGTCACATGCACACACACACACGACACTGTCACATGCGCACACACACACACACACACACACTTAGACACTGTCACATGCACACACACACACAGACACTGTCACATGCACACACACACAGACACTGGCACACACACACACACACACACACACACACCACTGTCACATGCACACACACACACACAGACACTGTCACATGCGCGCACACACACACACAGGGGGGACTTAATTTGAGATTATAGCTGGCTAGGGATATGACAAGCTCTCCTGCTGTAACTGCAGCGCTATTCTATCTATCGGTCGATCTATCTATCGCTCGATCGACCGACCGACCGCATTCGGAAAGTATTCAGACCCCTTGACTTTTTCCACATTTTGTTACGTTACAGCCTTATTCTAAAATTGATTAAATTGTTTTTCTATGGACAATTCCTTCGACTTCATGGCTTGGTTTTTGCTATGACATGCACTGTCAACTGTGGGACCTTTATATAGACAGGTGTGTTCCAAATAATTTCCAATCAATTGAATTTACAACAGGTGGACTCTAATCAAGTTGTAGAAACATCTCAAGGATGAACAATGGAAACAGGATGCACCTGAGCTCAATTTCTAGTTTCATAACAAAGGGTCTGAATACTTATGTAAATAAGGTATTTCTATTTTGTATTTTTAATACATTTATAAAAACCTGTTTTCGTTTTGTCATTATTGGGTATTATATCATCCGTTTTAGAATAAGGCTGTAACGTAACAAAATGTGGAAAAAGTCAAGGGGTCTGAATACTTTCCGAATGCAGTGTACAAAACATTAAGGACACCTGCTCTTTCCATGACATAGACTGACCAGGTGAATCCAGATTAAAGTTATGATCCCTTATTGATGTCAATTGTTAAATCCACTTCAATCAGTGTAGATGAAGGGGAGGAGACAGGTTAAATATGGATTTTTAAGCTTTGAGACAATTGAGACATGGATTGTGTATGTGTGCCATTCAGAGGGTGAATGGGAAAGACAAAAAATCTAAGTACCTTTTCAATGGGGTATGGTAGTAGGTGCCAGGCACACCGGTTTGTGTCAAGAACTGCAACGCTGCTGTTTTCACGCTCAACAGTTTCCTGTGTGTATCAAGAATGGTCCACCACCCAAAGGACATCCAGCCAACTTGACACAACTGTGGGAAGCTGTGGAGTCAACATTGGCCAGCATCCCTGTGGAACACTTTCGACACCTTGTAGAGTCCATGCCCTGACGAATTGAGGCTGTTCTAAGGGGAAAAGGCAGGGGGGGAGGAGGAGTGCTCTTAATGTTTTGTATATTCAGTGTCTCTCTCTCTCTCTCTCTGTGTCTGTGTGTGTTGTCATTGAGTCACATGGTTTGCTTTAACTAACTCAGCTGGGACAGTTTTTGTTTTGGGGAGAGGAAGGGGAGAGAGGGGTCAGGGCTGGACCCTTGGCACACCATATAGCATGTCATAGTGTGACTCATTTCTGATGACACACACACATTAATCTTCGGTCCACATTCAGGGAGACACATCTGGAGGTAATGATGTGTCCTCCTGCAACAGCTTATTGGTAGATTCCAGCACATTCACATTTTCTGCTTTTTAGCTTTTGAACCTGTTTTAAAAATGCAATAGGCCTACATTTTTTTCATTGTATAAAAACCTTGCGTGCTATCACAACAGCTGTACTCCCTGTTCACCCATGACTGCATGGCCAAGCACGACTCCAACACCATCATTAAGTTTGCCAACGACACAATAGTTGTAGGCCTGATCACCGACAACGATGAGAAAGCCTATAGGGAGTAGATCAGAGACCTGGCCGTGTGGATGCCAGGATAACAACCTCTCCCTCAACGTGACCAAGACAAAGGAGAGGATTGTGGACTACAGGAAAAGGAGGACCGAGCACGGCCCCATTCTCATCGACGGGGCTGTAGTGGAGCAGGTTGAGAGCTTCAAGTTCCTTGGTGTCCACATCACCAACAAACTAGCATGGTCCAAACACACCAAGACAGTCGTGAAGAGGGCACGACAAAGCCTATTTCCCCTCAGGAGACTGAAAAGATTTGGCATGGGTCCTCAGATCCTCAAAAAGTTATACAGCTGCACCATCGAGAGCATCCTGACAACTGCTCGGCCTCCGACCGCAAGGCACTACAGAGGGTAGTGCGTACGGCCCAGTATATCACTGGGGCAAAGCTTCCTGCCATCCAGGACCTCTATACCAGGCAGTGTCAGAGGAAGGCCCAAAAAATTGCCAAAGACTCCAGCCACCCTAGTCATAGACTGTTCTCTCTGCTACCGCACGGCAAGTCTAGGTCCAAAAGGCTTCTTAACAGCTTCTACCCCCAAGCCATGAGACTCCTGAACAGCAAATCAAATGGCTACCAGTGTGTTAGGCTGTAACCAGTGTGTTAGGGTGTATCCAGTGTGTTAGGCTGTATCCAGTGTGTGTTGGGCTGTATCCAGTGTGTGTTGGGCTGTATCCAGTGTGTGTTGGGCTGTATCCAGTGTGTTGGGCTGTATCCAGTGTGTGTTGGGCTGTATCCAGTGTGTGTTGGGCTGTATCCAGTGTGTGTTGGGCTGTATCCAGTGTGTGTTGGGCTGTATCCAGTGTGTGTTGGGCTGTATCCAGTGTGTGTTGGGCTGTATCCAGTGTGTGTTGGGCTGTATCCAGTGTGTGTTGGGCTGTATCCAGTGTGTGTTGGGCTGTATCCAGTGTGTGTTGGGCTGTATCCAGTGTGTGTTGGGCTGTATCCAGTGTGTGTTGGGCTGTATCCAGTGTGTGTTGGGCTGTATCCAGTGTGTGTTGGGCTGTATCCAGTGTGTGTTGGGCTGTATCCAGTGTGTGTTGGGCTGTATCCAGTGTGTGTTGGGCTGTATCCAGTGTGTGTTGGGCTGTATCCAGTGTGTGTTGGGCTGTATCCAGTGTGTGTTGGGCTGTATCCAGTGTGTGTTGGGCTGTATCCAGTGTGTGTTGGGCTGTATCCAGTGTGTGTTGGGCTGTATCCAGTGTGTGTTGGGCTGTATCCAGTGTGTGTTGGGCTGTATCCATTGTTGGCTGTACAGTGTGTGTTGGGCTGTATCCAGTGTGTGTTGGGCTGTATCCAGTGTGTGTTGGGCTGTAATCCAGTGTGTGTTTGGGCTGTATCCAGTGTGTGTTAGGCTGTATCCAGTGTGTGTTAGGGTGTATCCAGTGTGTGTTGGGCTGTATCCAGTGTGTGTTAGGCCTCAGATCCAGGCTCTGGTGTCTCAAAGCAGTCAGCAGGACACAGGATGAGCCATGACCCTATGACCCTCCAGTTACTTAGGCTCAATCACACATGCACTCATGTAAACACACACACACACACACCCCATACTATTGTGCACACACAGAAACACACACCACACACACACACACACGACATCTGTTTAAGATTTGACGCTCCTGGGTGCTCCTTCTCATTGTGTATAGTTGTGAACCTCCAGATAGCCATTAAAATGCCAAAGAGCCAAAAGATTCTGAGTCTGGCCCTCAGGCAACGCTGCATGCCATAGGTCATGTTCAGTCACAAACAGATGAAGTTACTGCCACTCCTACACTGAGGCACAGAACTGAAGCACAGAACTGACTGTAATATTGGCTCAACAGGTAACACTCTCTTCTTTCCAGTGAATAGCACATCAGACATGTAAAGCTAAAACACAGTTCGAACCCAGTTCAGCTGGTCCTCCAGCAATTTCCCATGATCTCTGTGTTAATGTCCTGAACATACAGTGGGGGAAAAAAAGTATTTAGTCAGCCACCAATTGTGCAAGTTCTCCCACTTAAAAAGATGAGAGAGGCCTGTAATTTTCATCATAGGTACACGTCAACTATGACAGACAAATTGAGATTTTTTTTCTCCAATAAATCACATTGTAGGATTTTTAATGAATTTATTTGCAAATTATGGTGGAAAATAAGTATTTGGTCACCTACAAATAAGCAAGATTTCTGGCTCTCACAGACCTGTAACTTCTTCTTTAAGAGGCTCCTCTGTCCTCCACTCGTTACCTGTATTAATGGCACCTGTTTGAACTTGTTATCAGTATAAAAGACACCTGTCCACAACCTCAAACAGTCACACTCCGAACTCCACTATGGCCAAGACCAAAGAGCTGTCAAAGGACACCAGAAACAAAATGGTAGACCTGCACCAGGCTGGGAAGACTGAATCTGCAATAGGTAAGCAGCTTGGTTTGAAGAAATTAAACTGTGGGAGCAATTATTAGGAAATGGAAGACATACAAGACCACTGATAATCTCCCTCGATCTGGGGCTCCACGCAAGATCTCACCCCGTGGGGTCAAAATGATCACAAGAACAGTGAGCAAAAATCCCAGAACCACACGGGGGGACCTAGAGACCTGCAGAGAGCTGGGACCAAAGTAACAAAGCCTACCATCAGTAACACACTACACCGCCAGGGACTCAAATCCTGCAGTGCAAGACGTGTCCCCCTGCTTAAGCCAGTACATGTCCAGGCCCGTCTGAAGTTTGCTAGAGTGCATTTGGATGATCCAGAAGAGGATTGGGAGAATGTCATATGGTCAGATGAAACCAAAATAGAACTTTTTAGTAAAAACTCAACTTGTCGTGTTTGGAGGACAAAGAATGCTGAGTTGCATCCAAAGAACACCATACCTACTGTGAAGCATGGGGGTGGAAACATCATGCTTTGGGGCTGTTTTTCTGCAAAGGGACCAGGACGACTGATCCGTGTAAAGGAAAGAATGAATGGGGCCATGTATCGTGAGATTTTGAGTGAAAACCTCCTTCCATCAGCAAGGGCATTGAAGATGAAACGTGGCTGGGTCTTTCAGCATGACAATGATCCCAAACACACCGCCCGGGCAATGAAGGAGTGGCTTCGTAAGAAGCATTTCAAGGTCCTGGAGTGGCCTAGCCAGTCTCCAGATCTCAACCCCATAGAAAATCTTTGGAGGGAGTTGAAAGTCCGTGTTGCCCAGCGACAGCCCCAAAACATCACTGCTCTAGAGGAGATCTGCATGGAGGAATGGGCCAAAATACCAGCAACAGTGTGTGAAAACCTGTGTCATTGCCAACAAAGGGTATGTAACAAAGTATTGAGAAACTTTTGTTATTGACCAAATACTTATTTTCCACCATAATTTGCAAATAAATTCATTAAAAATCCTACAATGTGATTTTCTGGATTTTTTCCCCTCATTTTGTCTGTCATAGTTGACGTGTACCTATGATGAAAATTACAGGCCTCTCTCATCTTTTTAAGTGGGAGAACTTGCACAATTGGTGGCTGACTAAATACTTTTTTCCCCACTGTTGAATCATTATGTGCTTCCCATGGTCCAAGCTATCTGGACTTCATTATTATTTCCTTGTTTGCTGCTATGTTATGATTGACAACAGTTTCCATGGTAGCAGATTGAGGACCTCCTGCGTCAGATAGCGTGACTCTGTTATTCGGTCTTACTAGTGTCGCGTTTGAGGGCCGCCCCCTGTCGGAAGATCACCTTTCCTCCTATGGCAAACCTGACCTACCAGTTGACAAACTATGAAAACTGGTTGTCATTTTATGGCAGTGTGCAATGGTTTTCAATAGATAAAGGATCCGGTAGTATGTGTGGTGTGAATCAGTTTACTCGGATGCTAGTACAGTGCATTCTGAAATATTCATACCTTGGGTTTTTTCCACATTTTTTTACGTTACACCTTATTCTAAAATGGATGAATGTTTTTTTACTTACATTTACGTCATTTACAGACGCTCTTATCCAGAGCGTCTTACAAATTGGTTGAATTCACCTATCTCCAGTGGGGATAACACTTTACAATGTATTTATTTATTTTTTGGTTGGGGTTGGGGTAAAGGGGGGGGGGTAGAAGGATTACTTATCCTATCCCGGTATTCCTAAGAGGGGGGTTTTCAATGTCTCCGGAACGGGTGAGTGACTCCCTGTCCTGCGTCGTGAGGAGCTTGTTCCACCTTGGGGTGCCAGAGCACGCACAGTTTTGACTGGGCTGAAGCGGGAAATATGCCTTCCGCATGAGGTAGGGGAGCCGAAGGCCAGAGGTGGATGAACGCAATGCCCTCGTTTTGGGTGTAGGGACTGATTCAGAAGCCCTGAAGGTACGGAGGTTGGTCGTTCCCCTCACAGCTCCGTATGGCAAGCAACCATGGTCTTGGTAAGTCAGATGCGAGCGTTCAACTGGAAGCCATGGAGTGTGCGGATGAGCGGGGTGGACGTAGAGAACTTGGGAAGGTTGAACACCAGACGGGCTGCGGCATTCTGGATGAGTTGTAGGGGTTTAATGGCACAGGCAGGGAGCCCAGCCAACAGCGAGTTGCAGTAATCCAGACGGGAGATAACAAGTGCCTGGATTAGGACCTGTGCCGCTTCCTGTGTAAGGCAGGGTCGTACTCTCCTAATGTTGTAGAGCATGAACCTACAGGATCGGGTCACCGCCTTGATGTTAGCGGAGAACGACAGGGTGTTGTCCAGGGTCACGCCAAGGCTCTTCGCACTCTGGGAGGAGGACACAACGGAGTTGTCAACCGTGATGGCGAGATCATGGAACAGGCAGTCCTTCCCCGGGAGGAAGAGCAGCTCCGTCTTGTCAAGGTTCAGCTTGAGGTGGTGATCCGTCATCCATACTGATATGTCTGCCAGACATGCAGAGATGCGATTCGTCACCTGGTTATCAGAAGGGGGAAAGGAGAAGATTAGTTGTGTGTCGTCTGCGTAGCAATGATAGGAGAGGCCATGTGAGGATATGACAGAGCCAACTGACTTGGTGTATAGCGAGAATAGGAGAGGGCCTAGAACTGAGCCCTGGGGGACACCAGTGGTGAGAGCACGTGGTGCGGAGACAGCTTCTCGCCACGCCACTTGGTAGGAGCGACCGGTCGTGGCTGGGTCTTTCAGCATGACAATGATCCCAAACACACCGCCCGGGCAACGAAGGAGTGGCTTCGTAAGAAGCATTTCAAGGTCCTGGAGTGGCCTAGCCAGTCTCCAGATCTCAACCCCATAGAAAATCTTTGGAGGGAGTTGAAAGTCTGTGTTGCCAAGCGACAGCCCCAAAACATCACTGCTCTAGAGGAGATCTGCATGGAGGAATGGGCCAAAATACCAGCAACAGTGTGTGAAAACCTTGTGAAGACTTACAGAAAACTTTTGACCTGTGTCATTGCCAACAAAGGGTATATAACAAAGTATTGAGAAACTTTTGTTATTGACCAAATACTTACTTTCCACCATAATTTGCAAATAAATTCATTAAAAATCTTACAATGTGATTTTCTGGATTTTTTTTCTTCTCATTTTGTCTGTCATAGTTGACGTGTACCTATGAGGAAAATTACAGGCCTCTCTCATCTTTTTAAGTGGGAGAACTTGCACAATTGGTGGCTGACTAAATACTTTTTTTCCCCCCCACTGTACATTGCCAAAGGAAACATATTTTAAATGTGTCTCTCTCCACAGATCCAGCCCTATGATAAGATAGCAGCGCGGCCCCTGCCGGACAGCCTGGCAGACAGTCTCAACAAGCTGGTGGTAGTCAAGTTGAACGGAGGCCTGGGTACCAGCATGGGCTGTAAAGGTCCAAAGAGCCTCATCAGCGTCCGCAACGAGAACACGTTCCTGGACCTCACCGTGCAGCAGATAGAGGTACCGGTCATATCTGTTATGTCATGCCATATCTGCTGTATAAGAGGTGTCATAATTGTCATTATGTCATCATAACATGTTATAACAGATATGTGCCACGTGAATGTTGTAGGCATGACATAAGAGGTGACATTTCATCAACCCTCAGCCCCATCTCTCAAAACGTACCAAACCAAGTGACTGGGCGGGGACTGTCGATGGGCTGAAGCAATGACTCCAGACTACAGATTATGACTTTAATGAGGGAGAGAAGACTGGGCACACACACACACAAACATACACACACACACAGTTGTACAACTAACCTTGTGGGGACACACAATTCAGTCCCATTCAAAATCCTATTTTCCCTAAACCGTACCCTTACCCTTACCCTAACCCTAACGTTAACCCAAAACCCTAACAACCCTAACCCTCGCATCTATCCCTAAAACTAACCCTAGCTCCTAACCCTAAGCCTAATTCTAACCCTAACACTAATTCTAACCTTAACCCTAAACCCTCTAGAAATAGCATTTGACCTTGTGGGGACCAACAAAATGTCCCCAGTTGGTCAAAGTTTTGTTCGTTTTACTATTCTTGTGGGGAATTCTGGTCCCCACAAGTATAGTTAAACACGTCTAGACACACACACACAGAGAGAGAGAGAGAGAGTGATGACTGAAACTTTTACTCAGGGGAGAGGACGGAGGTGGGAGTTGGGGAACATTAATGTGAGTTGGTATCCATTTTCTCCCTAAATGGCCTGATTCACAGTGGAGGTAATATGACTATATCTGGAGGGTAAAATGAGTGCCAGAACCACTGGGATGTGAGACAGATACAGGACACAGTGTGTGGAGGGGAGAAGAGTGTTCATGACGTGGATGTTGATTAAGGCAGCCCCCCGCACCTCTCTGATTCAGATGGGTTGGGTTAAATGCGGAAGACACATTACAGTTGAATGCATTCAGTTGTACAACTGACTAGGTATCCCCCTTTCCATTTCCTTTCCATGCAGCCGTTACGCTTCACACACATACAAACACAGACGACCACACACAAGTCTGCAAACAATTACCGCCTCTCTCTTGCTCTGACACACACACACCTCTCAGTTCCAGCACACTGCCTTCTCTGTCCTCCCTCTGCCTGGCCAAACCCACAGACCTGCCCATAGAATAACAGCTCTCCTTTCAGTCAGACTGCCTGAAGACATTAGAGCGCTTTACACAGACCCTCAACTGATCTTATACTATACTGAACAAAAATAGAAACGCAACATGCAACAATTTCTACAATTTTACTGAGGTACAGTTCATACAAGGAAATCAGTCAATTGAAATAAATTCATTAGGCCCTAATCTATGGATTTCACATAACTGGGCAGGGGCACAGCCATGGGTGGGCCTGGGAGGGCATAGGCCCAGCCACTTGGGGGCCAGGCCCACCCACTGGGGAGCCAGGCCCAGCCAATCAGAATGAGTTTTTCCCCACAAAAGGGCTTTATTACAGACAGAAATACTCCTCAGTTTCATCATCTGTCCTGGTGGCTGGTCTCAGACGATCCCGCAGGTGAAGAAGCCAGATGTGGAGGTCCTGGGCTGGCGTGGTTACATGTGGTCTGCGGTTGTGAGGCCGGTTGGACGTACTGCCAAATTCTCTAAAACGACGTTGGAGGCGGCTTATGGTAGAGAAATGAACATTCAATTCTCTGGCAACAGCTCTGGTGGACATTCCTGCAGTCAACATGCCAATTGCACGCTGCCCTCAAAACTTGAGACATCTGTGGCATTGTGTTGTGTGACAAAACTGCACATTTTAGTGGCATTTTATTGCCCCAGCACAAGGTGCACCTGTGTAATGATCATGCTGTTTAATCAGCTTCTTTATATGCCACACCTGTCAGGTGGATGGATTATCTTGGCAAAGGAGAAATGCTCACTAACAGGGATGTAAACACATTTGTTCTCCACATTTTTGAGAAATACGCTTTTTGTGCGTATTTCTGGGATCTTTTATTTCAGTTCATGAAACATGGGACCAACACTTTACATGTTGCGTTTATATTTTTGTTCAGTATACATATCATATCTGTCTACCCCTCTCTCTGCAGGATGAAGGAATACATACATGTTATGTGCCTAAAGGACAGAGGCAGGGAGAGAATGAGAACATGTGCTTGTGATTTGGAGAGTGGGAGAGGGAGAGAAGGGGTATTTTCTTAAAGCCACAGAACCTCTTTATCCCTCCTTCTCTCTGTCTCTAGTCTGCTGGTATGTGTATGACCTTTCTGCTCTGTCCTGGGGCCCTCTGAGGATATGGGAGTTCCTAACTTCCCAAAACTCATAAAACGAAACTTTAAATGATTGCACTAAATCTAAACAAACATCCTACAGTGGAATAGATCCTGTTATGCTGACCTGTTGCGCCAGTCAGACAGTGTGATTTCCTGGTAGTTATGTTGTGTGTGTGTTTGTGTCATATCCTGGTAGTTACGTTGGTTGGTAGTGGAGTTGAATTCCCACAACCTCGCTTCTCCTAGGACAGTCCCACCCTTGATGACCTCATAATGACCTCATAAAGCCGAGACGAACCTCGACCAGCCTGGTTGCTTCATAAACTCCACCACACACCCACACAGTTTGGTAACGGTTTACCGTAACAACCCCTCCCTCATTAAAATCTGGAATCTAGAGTCTTCGGGCTTGTTCAGCATTGCAGCCGACCGTACTGCCGACTAACCGATCTACAAATCACCTTGCATCATAAATAACTACTCATTATGATTTGTAGATCAGTCAATCAATCAGTCAGTCACAATGCATCACGGATTTGATGCTCTCCAACACTGCCATTGCATTAGCTCCACCCAGCCTGTCACTTGGTTTGCTGTGGCCAATATGGCCGCCAAGCACTCCTTTCACCTGTTCTCAATCCAATATGGCCGCCAAGCACTCCTTTCACCTGTTCTCAATCCAATATGGCCGCCAAGCATTCCTTTCACCTGTTCTCAATCCAATATGGCCGCCAAGCACTCCTTTCACCTGTTCTCAATCCAATATGGCCGCCAAGCATTCCTTTCACCTGTTCTCAATCCAATATGGCCGCCAAGCACTCCTTTCACCTGTTCTCAATCCAATATGGCCGCCAAGCACTCCTTTCACCTGTTCTCAATCCAATATGGCCACCAAACACTATGGGTTTATTTACCCCTCTCATTTCTCTCAGCACATGTACAACACCAAAAACAATACAATACACCTTAATTTAACTTGATTTATTTCATTTAGCATTTCTTTGTCCCCGCAGCACTTGAACAAGAGGTACAACACAGATGTCAATACAATACAACTTTATTTAACTTTATTTAATTTTGCAAATCTTTTTCCCTCAGCACTTGAACAAGAAGTACAACACAGACGTTCCTCTGGTCCTGATGAACTCCTTCAACACGGATGAAGACACCAAGAAGATCCTTCAGAAATACACACACCACCGCGTCAAGATACACACCTTCAACCAGAGCAGGTAACACACGCACCACAGTATGTCTCATATCCTGCTGGATCAGAATATATGAGACATACGGGACATAAAACTGGACATCCTGTCTGTAGCGGTAATGAATGGACTCTAAAGACAGGAAAAATCCACCCAAAAGCACTCATTCCTTTAATTTACAGTGTTAAATAGCACTAATATGTGAGTATGTTTTCTGAACAAATATTTCATTTTGGCGTTATAATAAAGTTGGTAGCAACATGGAAAATCGTTGTGGAAATCTGTTGCAGCTCAAGTCGACTACAAAATCCACAATGCAATGCTCTCTCTATGGGCTGACTGGCTATCTAGCAAGCAAACGTAGCTACACACAATAATACCAAAGACAATATCAGCATGTAAAGTTAGTTAGCTGTAAAATCGCCTAAACAAACTGCACTATCAATAGTGACCCACCACCTGGATTCGATCCTATGTAGCAACATTTGATATTGTGTTTTTTACATTTGATTAAAGTAGAGACTCAGAGCTAGAAAATTGTATATCATACACTGCAGTTGAGGAACAAAGGGAATGTAATTCTGCTTAGAAAGTTGACAAACCTGTAACCCCCCTTTTGAGAAAATGGCCTTTGAATGCTTTGGTACACCTACTGGAGAGCTCTTCTTTGTCTACACCCATTCAGTATTTTTCACACCCTCTTAAGCCTTAGCCCCACCCATCTCTTTAAGGATTCAAATGTGAGGCCATGTGCTAAACAGAGTGAGTAGTGTAGTAAACAACCAAAGATTTCAAGACTAAAAGTGGTAAAAGTAGTAGCCTACAATAAGTAAAAATACACTTTATCTAGTCCTTGGTCTATATCCTAATCTGACTTTGGTACAGGTAATTTTGTTCTTCACATTACCGTCTCTGGTAAACACATTCTATATCAAATAAAATCTAAGTGTATTTGTCACATGCACAGGATACAGAAGGTGTAAACGGTACAGTGAAATGGTTACTAGCAATATCAAAAACAGAAAGTGTCCAGATAAAAATAATGTATACATATTTTATCATTATTAAATGACGCTTACCCAGACACACTTGTCTAAATTGAAGGGTCATGTGACCCCCCCCCCCCCCCCCCCAGGCACATCTAGCGAAGTGGATGGGGCTCTATTGTCTAGACATGTACACATGTTCATGAAATACAATAAATGGCCGTAATCAATAGATGGCGGAATCACCCCCAGACACAGCAGGCTAACTTGATGGGTCATGTAATCATCTGGCGAAGTAGTTAACTAAACAATGAACCGGCATAATCCCAACTCATGCTACCAATACGAACATTGTCATAGCTGTAGTATGAATCTGCAGGTAGCTAAAGCTAACCAACTAGGTTCAATGTTAGCTAGCTAACATTAGGCTAAAACGAGCAATGCAAATGGATTTCTGATTCAAATAATATTACTACATAGATCATACACGTAATATTAGCTAGCGAGCCAGCAAGCTAATGTTCGCTAGCTAGCGAACAGTACGCTTTAACTTGCAATGAAAACAACTAAATAATTAGAATATTTGAAAATGTAGCTAAACTCTTAACCGTATACATGGATTGAATGCCTACATCTTGTTTGGCCAGCGTTGTGTCAATTCACTCTGGTTTACACAGACCGTGGCGTGTGCAAAAAGTAGCCCATCACAACTTTTTCCAACTGATCTGTCGATAGCGCCTGCTAAATTAAGGGCATCAATGTTGTTGAGAAAAGTAGCTAAACTTTTGTAGTTCTCAATGGCTAACGTTATATCTTTTAAAAACGCTGCGGTAGAAAGGACTATCAACACATACAGTACAGAGCAGCTCACGTTATGACCGAAGTATGCTACATGGCAGACCAATCCAAACTCATCACCCGGCATGTCCAGCCCATTCATTATCTCAGCCAATCATGGTTAGCGGTAAAGGTACTTGTCTTTTTCCGTGGCTAAACCAACTATGCTCGTAATTTTAATAATTTTATTCATATTTACAGATGGAATACAAGTCTGTTATTAAGGCACATGAAAGTTCACATGTTCCAGAGCGCATTTCTGCCAAAAAACACACAAAAAAAAGAAGTTCAAAAGCCTCTCCTGTGAAGTAGTGACGTGCGACATACGCCTGCCTAGCTTCCTGAAACGGGTCACAATTTAGGAGTCTACAATCTCACCATGTTCAACCTGCAGATCGATGTGCCGCAGAGTGGAGTCTGACATTCGCAACGGCAGATACAGTGCCTTCGGAAAGTATTCAGACCCCTTGACTCTTTCCACATTTTGTTACGTTACAGCCTTATTCTAAAATGAATTAAATCGTTTTTTCCCCTCATCAATCTACACACAATACCCCATAATGACAAAGCAAAAATAGGTTATTATAAAATAAAATAAATGGAAATATCACATTTACATAAGTATTCAGACACTTTACTCAGTACTTTGTTGAAGCACCTTTGTTAGCAATTACAGCCTCGAGTCTTCTTGGGTATGACGCTACAAGCTTGGCACACCAGTATTTGGGGAGTTTCTCCCATTCTTCTCTGCAGATCCTCTCAAGCTCTGTCAGGTTGGATGGGAAGCGTTGCTGTACAGCTATTTCCAGGTCACTCCAGAGATGTTCGAGCGGGTTCAAATCCGGGCTCTGGCTGGGCCACTCAAGGACATTCAGAGATTTGTCCCGAAACTACTCCTGCGTTGTCTTGGCTGTGTGCTTAGGGTCTTTGTCCTGTTAGAAGGTGAACCTTCACCCCAGTCTGAGGTCCTGAGCGCTCTGGAGCAGGTTTTCATCAAGGATATCTCTGTACTTTGCTCCTTTCATCTTTGCCTTGATCCTGACTAGTTTCCCAGTCCCTGCCGCTAAAAAACATCCCCACAGCATGATGCTGCCACCACCATGCTTCACCGAAGGGATGGTGCCAGGTTTCCTCCAGACATGATGCTTGGCATTCAGGCCAAAGAGTTCAATCTTGGTTTCATCAGACCAGAGAATCTTGTTTCTCATGATCTGAGAGTCTTTAGGTGCCTTTTGGCAAACTCCAAGTGGGCTGTCATGTGCCTTTTACTGAGGAGTGGCTTCCGTCTGGCCACTACCATAAAGGCCTGATTGGTGGAGTGCTGCAGAGATGGTTGTCCTTCTGGAAGGTTCTCCCATCTCCACAGAGGAACTCTAGAGCTCTGTCAGAGTGACCATCAGGTTCTTGGTCACCTCCCTGACCAAGGCCCTTCTCCCCCGATTGCTCGGTTTGGCCGAGCGGCCAGCTCTAGGAAGAGTCTTGGTGGTTCCAAACATCTTCAATTTTAGAATGATGGAGGCCACTGTGTTCTTTGGGACCTTCAATGCTGCAGAAATGTTTTGGCACCCTTCCCCAGATCTGTGCCTCGACACAATCCTGTCTCAGAGCTCTACTGACAATTCCTTCGACCTCACGGCTTGGTCTTTGCTCTGACATGCACTGTCAACTGTGGGACCTTATATAGACAGGTGTGAGCCTTTCCAAATCATGTCCAATCAATTGAATTTACCACAGGTGGACTCCAATCAAGTTGTAGAAACATCTCATGGATGATCAATGGAAACAGGATGCACCTGAGCTCAATTTCGAGTCTCATAGCAAAGGGGCTGAATACTTATGTAAATAAGGTATTTCTGTGTTTTATTTGTAATACATTTGCAAAAATGTCTAAACCTATTAACAAAATGTGGGAAAAGGGGTCTGAATACCATGCTACGTAAATGTGGGCTGCATGGTGCATTATGGGCGATTCTGAGACAAGGAGCGCTGTCCTTCGAGTGAATGGGAGTGTATTGAGCGCTAGCTCAAAATTCCAACATTAGCACGAATTTCGTCAACAAGAAGTACAACATTACAATACTTTTCCAAGATGTGAGATAATTAACTTGCTATCTGTAATATCGTATAGTTTTGTAATATAGGCAAGTTTCTCGACCAATACACTGACTTTGAGAAGGGATTGTGTTACGATTAGTTTAGCAACCGCGTGACGCAGCATGACAACGTGAACGCGATTTGTCGACAGTCTACTGGGTGGGGCGTTATACTTTCCTTCATTCATTTCCTTTCTATAATATCTCAGGCAGCTGAACCACGCAACGCACCCTGGACTAAAGAGGCAAACAAATAGGAAAATGTGCTAGACCCTCCGTTAAATTACACATTTCTCGAGGTAGGAGTATCGCTAAAATATGATCAATGGCTCATTTGAGAGAAGACATCCTCCCGAGTTATGACATCTAGCAGTATTGAAATCTGACATCTATGATAGACGTTTTCGCGATCTAAAAGTTGTATTCCTTTTAACTTCCATTGTAGTGAGAGCGACTTTATCGCAGTTCTACGTCATAGCGGCCGGATTTCTGCCTGCTTGAACGCCATTAACTCAGTGAAAACATGAAATTACCCATGGAATCGATAGAACATCACTCAGAGATGCACAAAAACAATATAACATTCAAAATGGGTGAACCTTTCCTTTAAGCAGTGGACTGTTGAATTGGACTGTAGACTAAAAGGCTTGTAGTGTTAATATTTGATCAGCCTCTCCTTTGCCTTTGGAATACAATCAAACACAGTGAGGATCAAGCTGGAGTGTGTCAAAAAGCCTGGTCAGATGACAACTTAATCCTCTTTTAATGAGGCCCCTTCCCTCTCCTCCCCCATTTCCCATCTCCTCTCCTCCCCCATTTCCCCTCCCCTCTCCTCTCCCTTCCTTCATTCTCCTCTCCTCTCTTCCCCTCTCCCCCCCCCCCCCCCCTCCCCTCTCCTCCCCTCCCCTCCCCTCCCCTCCCCTCCCCTCCCCTCTCCTCCCTTCCCCTCCCCTCCCCTCCTCATCTCTCATCTGATCCCTCTTATCCATGCCAGAACTGTCTTCCCCCTTGCCCCGCTCCTTCCTCTTCTCCTTCCCTCTCCCCTTCTCCCTCCTCTCTTCCCTCTCCTCTCCTTCCCCTCTCCTCTTTGCTTCTCTCCTTTCCCCTTCTCTTCTCTCCTCTTTTCTCATTTACACTTCCCTCTCTGTCCATGTTATCCGGGTTCCTTGGGACATCCCTACCCCATTGAAGTTGAATTGTAAAATGGGTATGGTTATGGTTAGGGTAGTCCCAAGGATTCCGGATAGCACGACCCCTCCTCTCTCCTCCCCTCCTCTCTCCTCCCCTCCTCTCTCCTCCCCTCCCTCTCCTCCCCTTCTCTCTCCTCCCTCTCTCTCCTCCCCTCCTCTCTCCTCCCCTCCTCTCTCCTCTCCCTTCTCTCTCCTCCCTTCTCCTCTCCTCCCTCCTCTCGCTCCTCCCCCTCCTCTCTCCTCCCCTCCTCTCTCCTCTCCTTCCTCTCTCCTCCCCTCCTCTCTCCTCTCCCCCCTCCTCTCCCTCCCCCTCTTCCTCCCCTTCTCTCTCCCTCTCCTTCTCTCCTCCTCCCCTCCTCTCTCCTCCCCGCCTCTCCCGCTCCTCTCCATCTCCTCCCCTCCTCTCTCCCTCCCCTCCTCTCTCCTCCCCTTCTCTCTCCTTCCCCTCCTCTCTCCTCCCCTCCTCTCTCCTCCCCTCCTCTCTCCTCCTCCTTCTCTCTCCTCCCCTCCTCTCATCCTCTCCTGTCCCTCCCCTCCTCTCTCTCCTCCTCATCCTCTCTCATTCTCTCTCCTCCCTTCCTCCTCTCTCCTCCCTTCTCTCTCCTCCCTCCATTCTCTCTCCTCCCTTCCTCCTCTCCTCCGTCCTTCTCTCTTCCCCTCCCTCCCTCCTCCTCTCTCCTCCGCTCTCTCCTCCTCCTCCTCTCCTCCTCCTCGCTCTCCTCCTCCTCTCTCTCCTCCCCTCCTCCTCCTTCCTCTCTCCTCCCCTCCTCTCTCCTCCTCCCTCTCTCTCTCCCGCTCCTCCTCCTCCTCCTCTCCTCCCCTCTCTCTCGGTCCTCCCTTCTCCTCATCCTCCCCTCCTCCATCCTCTCCTTCTCTCTCCTGCCCTCTCCCCTCCCTGTCTTCTCGCTCCTCTCCTCCGCTCTTCCTCTCTCCTTCCTCTCTCTCCTCCCCTCTCCTCCTCCTCTCCTCCTCTCCTCTCGCTCTCTCTCCCTCTCTCCTCGCCTCCTCCTCTCCCTCCTCCCCTCCCTCTCTCCTCCCCCCTCTCTCCTCTCCTCTCCTCTAATGTTCCCTCTAAGCTTCTCCAATGTGTGCCGCTCCCCTTGGACTGCCACGCAGAATAAATATCAGCCCTCGCAGAGAAGCACGAGATTGAACTTCCCTCAACTTTCTACAGTTTTCCCCTTTAGTTAACACTATCAACGTTTCCCGTAACTGGGGGAATTGTGATCGACTCAACGCAACATTAGACACTTTCAATGCAAGTGGATAAACAGGTTAATGTCAAGCCCTGCATGTTTTTTTCAAAGATCTCATGGAATGTAGGCCTACGTTTAACACCACACATTGGCTGCTACTGTAGGCTGAATGATAGAACAGCTATTTCCATGTTAAAATGTTATGGGATGCATTTTTCTCCATTGTTTTCTATGGTGCCCTCTGTCCTACATTTCGATCAAATAGCCCGTGCCTACTTGTCCACTTCCTCTCGTATCACGCGGTACAGCCTCTCACAAAACACCCGGATTGCCACAAATTTTCAACTAAGTTTGCGCCCTAGCCTAATTCTCAGTCTAAACTTCAGGAACTTGCTCCTCTCCTCACCTCCTCCTTCCGTCCTCTCCTCTCACCCTGACCCTCTTTCCCTCTAGCCATCCATTGTGCCTCCCCCTTGGACTGCCACGCAGACAGAAGATTCAGACCCCCTCTTCATGCAGAAGACAGATTCAGTTTCCTCCCTTCTATGGTCAGACAGACCATTTGAGTAATCACATCACTCTTATGGCCAGAATTGATCGACTCAGGTCACTACACTCCCATTGCAAGGATACAACAGTTCATGTCAGCCTGCATTCTTATGGCAGAAGACATTCAGGACATCTGCCCTCTCTTGCCAACACCACAATCTCGGTCTCCTACCCCTCTTAGGCCAGACAGACAACTATCCATCCTCCCCTCTTATGTCCAGACAGACAGATCTCAGGTCATCCTCCTCCTCTCATGGCCAGACAGACAGATCTCAGGTCACTCCTCCCCTCTCATGGCCGACAGACAATCTCAGTATCCTCCCACTCTTATGGCCAGACGACAGATCTCAGGTCATCCCCTCTTTATGCCAGACGCAGATCTCAGGCATCCTCCCCTCTTATGCCCAAACAGACAGATATCCAGTCTCCTCCCCTCTATGGCCAGACAGACTATGCTCAGTCATCCTCCCCTCTATGGCCACGACAACAGATCTCAGTCATCCTCCCCTCTTATGCCAGACAGACAATCTCAGGTCATCCTCCCCCTCTCATGGCCAGACAGACAGATCTCAGGTCATCCTCCCCTCTCATGGCCAGACAGACATATCTCAGGTCATCCTCCCCTCTTATGGCCAGACAGACAGATCTCAGGTCATCCTCCCCTCTTATGGCCAGACGACAGATCTCAGGTCATCCTCCCCTCTTATGGCCAGACAGACAGACAGATCTCAGGTCATCCTCCCCTCTTATGGCCAGACAGACATATCAAGTCATCCTCCCCTCTCATGGCCAAACAGACAGACAGATCTCAGGTCATCCTCCCCTCTTATGGCCAGACAGACAGATCTCAGGTCATCCTCCCCTCTCATGGCCAGACAGACAGATCTCAGGTCATCCTCCCCTCTTATGGCCAGACGGACAGATCTCAGGTCATCCTCCCCTCTTATGGCCAGACAGACAGACAGATCTCAGGTCATCCTCCCCTCTTATGGCCAGACAGACATATCAAGTCATCCTCCCCTCTCATGGCCAAACAGACAGACAGATCTCAGGTCATCCTCCCCTCTTATGGCCAGACAGACAGATCTCAGGTCATCCTCCCCTCTTATGGCCAGACAGACAGATCTCAGGTCATGCTCAGCTCTATAAGGAGACATTAAACGTTCTCCTTCCTAATCTGCTCTTATCAGCTGATAAACATTAAGTGATGACGGCTCCTTGTTCTGTTCAGTTGGTCTTGCCATCATTCACACATTCCTAACAGGATTCCTAACAGAATGCTATCCTGGGTTGAAGAAACATGATGTTTAATGAGATAACATTGAGGATTACATTTCCTATGATTTAAACGCAAAACATGAAACCTGTAAGTAGCCTGCAATTGGGTTGTTTAACTAAAATTAATTCACCCTCTCTCCCCCTCTCCCTCCCTCCACCCCTCCCCTCCCGCCCTCTCTCCCAGGTACCCCCGTATTAACAAAGAGTCCCTCCTGCCTGTGGCCACAGACATTGGTATGACGGGTGAGAACGCTGACGTGTGGTACCCTCCTGGCCACGGGGACATCTACGCCAGCTTCTACAACTCTGGCCTGCTGGATCAGCTCATCGCAGAGGGCAAGGTACACACACGCGCGCACACACACGTACACGCATGCACATACGCACCAGAGGAGGCTGGTGGGAGGAGCTATAGGAGGACGGGCTCATTGTAATGGCTGGAATGGAATGAATTGAACGGTATCAAACACATCAAAGATATGGAAACCACGTGTTGGACTCTGTTCCATTTATTCCATTCCAACAAGCCCGTCCTCCTATAGCTCCTCCCACCAGCCTCCTCTGACGCACGTATGTACACACACACACACACATACACACACACAAACACAAAGGCAAGGTAACTACCCTATCTGCAGCACTGACCTCTTTTTAAAGAAAACACTTATTTTATTTATATAATTTGTAAATGATATTAAATAATTCAGCCTTCGCTGCTATTGATACAATGTTTCTTGTCTTGTGTAAAATGATAATTCCATAACGTTGTAAAACCACAGGGGGGCAAAGTCAAACAACTGAGTTCCAAGGCACCAATATACTGTATCACAGGAGGTTGGTGGAACCTTAATTGGGGAGAACGGGCTCGTGGTAATGACTGGAGCAGAATCAGTGGAATGGTATCAAACACATGGTTTCCAGGTGTTTGATGCCATTCCATCTGCTCCGTTCCAGCCATTATTATGAGCCGTCCTCCCCTCAGCAGCCTCCTGTGAAATATACAATGAGTATACCAAACATTAGGAACACCTTCCTAATATTGAGTTGCACCCCAGGAAGAGTAGCTGCTGCTTTCGCAACAGCTAATGGTGATCCTAATAAAATACCAAAATACCCCCCCCCTTCTCCCTCCCTCGCTCCAGGAGTACATCTTTGTGTCTAATATTGATAACCTGGGTGCTACGGTGGACCTGAACATTCTGCACCACCTGGTGAGCCAGCCCAACGGGAAACGCTGTGAGTTCATCATGGAGGTCACCGACAAGACCCGCGCTGATGTCAAGGTGGGTGGCAGGAGGGGGAAAGACGGCGGCCATTTTGTGGTCTCTTAATGGTTTATTCTGTCTTCATAAATGTTTTATTCACCTCTCACTATTAACACTTTATTCATCATTTATTCACAGTTTATAAAAAGTTCATTCAATTGTTGTTCATTAATTAAATTGTTTAATTAATTAATGTGGAATTGGTATATCTTATTTTTTTACTGTTAAATGAATAATATATAGCCATTTATTCTTAAAGAATATAACGTATAAATAAATAATGAGCTTTAGTTAAACTGTACTACCCCATCAGAACCCAAAATAACCTCTCTGTGTCTCTGTCTCTGTGTCTGTGTCTCTGTCTCTGTGTCTCTGTGTCTCTCTGTCTCTCTGTCTCTCTGTCTCTGTCTCTCTGTGTCTCTGCGTCTCTGCCTCTCTGTCTCTCTGTCTCTCTGTCTCTGTCTCTCTGTCTCTGTCTACGTCTCTGCGTCTCTGTCTCTCTGTCTCTGTCTCTCTCTCGGTCTCTGTGTCTCTGTCTCTGTGTCTCTCTGTGTCTCTGTCTTTCTGTGTCTCTCTCTGTGTCTCTGTCTCTGTCTCTCTCTGTCTCTCTGTGTCTCTGTCTCTGTCTCTCTGTCTCTACGTCTCTGTGTCTCTGTGTCTCTACAGGGCGGTACCCTTATCCAGTATGATGACAAGCTGCGTCTGCTGGAGATCGCCCAGGTCCCCAAGGCCCATGTAGATGAGTTCAAATCAGTCACCAAGTTTAAGATCTTCAACACCAACAACCTGTGGATCTCTCTGGGTGCCATCAAGAGGCTGCAGGAGCAGAACGCCCTGGACATGGAGATCATCGTTAACCCCAAGGTGAGAGGCCAGACAGTTAGGCATACACACACACACACACCGCGCGCAGATTGTGTGCAGGTTTTGCATAGGTCAACACACACACACACACACACACACACACACACACAAAAACACTTTAGCTCAGTACATTTTGATGCTGTTTCGGTCAAGGCAGTCCAGCTCAGGTCAGACCAGCTGAATGTATAGAAGACCAGCTGAATGTATAGGATATATTCTATGGCTCAGAATGCCTAATATAATTTCCTGAGCCCCTTAACCATATATTGTATCCCCCAAATGATTAATAGTCTAATTTCAACAGCTGAAAAAAATCTAATAAATCAACTGTAAACTTCTCAATGAGGAGGCAGAGAGAGGTGGTGCAGAATTCCTCTTCAGTTTCACTCCGACTCAAAATACCTGCTCTGTTCCCACCCCTCTCTTCCCCTCTCCTCCTCCCCACCCCTCCCCTCTCCTCTCTTCCCCACCCCTCCCCTCTCCTCTCTTCCCCACCCCTCCCCTCTCCTCTCTTCCCCACCCCTCCCCTCTCTTCCCCACCCCTCCCCTCTCCTCTCTTCCCCACCCCACCCCTCTCCTCTCCTCCCCACCCATCCCCTCCCCTCTCCTCTCCTCCCCACCCCTCCCCTCTCCTCTCCTTCCCCCACCCCTCCCCTCTCCTCTCCCCCCACCCCCTCCCCTCCCCCTCGCCCTGTCCTCTCCCCCCCTCCGCCTCCTCTCCCTTTCCTCCCCACCCCTCCCCACCCCCGTCCTCCCCACCCCTCCCCTCTCCTCTCCCTCCCCACCAACCTCCCCTCTCCTCCTCTCCCCCCCCCCCCCCTCTCCTCCCCCCCCCTCCCCTCTCCCTTTTCCCCACCCCCCCCCTTTTACCAAGATTACACTTCTCATAACTGAGAGGACCAAGGAACCGAGTGGAGAAAAAATGCTGGTGGAGGATGGGGGAGTTGGTGCCTAGACACAAAGACAGTGCTCCACACGCCGAAAGACAAAAGGACGCCCGAACAACATACAGAGTAGAGTACGCCCTAACATACATTACAGATACTGCCGACAACATTACAGAGACTGCCCTGACTTACAAACCAGAGGCAACTGCCCTGAGCATTACATTACAAGGGACTCCGAACATAACATTACAACGCACTCCCTAAACATACCATACAATTACCTCTCCCGAACATCTCATCCTCCCTAACTCCACCTGCACTCCCTAACCACCCCTACAGGTACTCCCTGACACCATTACCATTACAAGCTCTGCACTCTCCTAGACCATCACTTATTACAGAGTGATGCCTTGAGCTTCATTTCAACTGCATGGCCATGATGTATCATTCAGGTGGCCTGCCCTGAGACAACATATCAGAGTGGTACTGCTCGCCTGACATCATCAGAGTGGTACTGCCCTGAGACATGATATTACAGAGTGGTACTGCCCTGAGACATACATTACCAGGTGTACTGCCCTGAACTACTACATTGGTGACTGCCAGAGACATTGACAGAGTGTTACTGCCCTGAGTTACATGACACATGGTACTGCCCTGAACACCCAGTGCCCCAGAGGTGGTACTACACCATGAGACATAAACCATTTACAGAGTGGTACGCCTGAGACATGTACATTCCCAGAGTGGTACTGCCCATGGAACCATACAACAGAGTGGTACTCCCTGAGACATACACGAGGGTAGCCCTAGACAGTACATTCCTAGAGTGATACCTGTCCCTAACTCAGTCTGTCCCTAGAGGTGTACTAACACCAAGAGCATACCTATACATAGATGTAGCCCTAGAGGTCAGTTAATTACAGCAGTGGTATGTCCTACAATACATTCGTCCCTTGAAGAGTACACACCGTTGCACTACAACCAGTCTGTCCCTGGAGGTTGTAACTAACACCAAGGTAACCATTCCTAACCTCCAGTGTCCCATAGAGGGTTGAATAACACTAAAGAGGTAACCACTACAATCCATCTTTCCCCTAGAGGTATTATAACACAAGGTAAATACTACAACCCAGTCTGATCCCTAGAGGTTTCTAGCACAAGGTGAAACACTACAACTCAGTCATGTCCCCTAGAGGTTTACTAACCAATGTGGTAACAACACTACTTAACTTCAAGTTGTCCCCTAGAGGTTTTACACCAAGGTAACAACTACTATATCCAGATGCTCCCCTAGAGAGTGTACTAACACACAAGGTGTAACACTACAACTCCAGTCTGTCCTAGAGGTGTTACAACACCAACGTGTAACCACTACAACTCCCTAGTTGTCACTAGAGGTTTACTAACACCAAGGTAACTATACCAACTCCCGTCTGTCTCCTAGAGGTTTACTAACACCAAGGTAACCACTACAACTCCAGTCTGTCCCCTAGAGGTTTACTAACACCAAGGTAACCACTACAACTCCAGTCTGTCCCCTAGAGGTTTACTAACACCAAGGTAACCACTACAACTCCAGTCTGTCCCCTAGAGGTTTACTAACACCAAGGTAACCCGTGCTAACCTGCCATACATAGATAGACCCTAGGCTAGTGTAGATTTATTCCCCCCATATTTGCAGATTGGTGGTGTGTCCCAATAATCTCTCCTCCTTCCTGAAGAGTTCACCCGTTCACTATCCACATATTGAAAAGCGTTGGATTGGATTGTTGTAGATGTCTACAGGGACATTCCACCATTTCCTTATACCAGCCATTCCCTTCTAAATCCATGAAGGGAAGTGGACAAGTGCACACTTTGGGAGAATGGAGAGATGATTGAGGCGGTGCCGTAGATTCATCACATTTCCCATCTTTAGATCCTAAGACTCCGCTAGTTTTATTGGATGTACTGTATATTATATAATTACTACCCTGACGTTGTTAGCTAGCAGATGTGATGAACAGAACACTACTGTATATTATAGAATGACTACCCTGACGTTGTTAGCTAGCAGATGTGGTGAACAGAACACTACTGTATATTATAGAATGACTACCCTGACGTTGTTAGCTAGCAGATGTGGTGAACAGAACACTACTGTATATTATAGAATGACTACCCTGACGTTGTTAGCTAGCAGATGTGATGAACAGAACACTACTGTATATTATAGAATGACTACCCTGACGTTGTTAGCTAGCAGATGTGGTGAACAGAACACTACTGTATATTATAGAATGACTACCCTGACGTTGTTAGCTAGCAGATGTGATGAACAGAACACTACTGTATATTATAGAATGACTACCCTGACGTTGTTAGCTAGCAGATGTGGTGAACAGAACACTACTGTATATTATAGAATGACTACCCTGACGTTGTTAGCTAGCAGATGTGGTGAACAGAACACTACTGTATATTATAGAATGACTACCCTGACGTTGTTAGCTAGCAGATGTGGTGAACAGAACACTACTGTATATTATAGAATGACTACCCTGACGTTGTTAGCTAGCAGATGTGGTGAACAGAACACTACTGTATGCTCCAGGTGGTGATGTGTTATTTCATTCTATAACTCACTGTGATACTCTTTTTGATATTAAGTGGATCATTCAGATCCTAGTGGAGCAGGTTAAAGCTTGTCTTATGACTAGCTCAGAGGTTCTCCAACTGAACCCACTACCTGAGGCCTACAGTACATTCTTCAGTTTGTGTGTGTGTGTGTGTGTGTGTGTGTCTGTGTGTCTGCGTGTGTGTGTGTGTGTGTGTGTGTCTGTGTCTGTGTGTGTGTGTGTGTGTGTGTGTGTGTGTGCTTGTCATTCTAACCACCTTTCCTCCCACCAGACGCTGGACGGCGGTCAGAACGTGATCCAGCTGGAGACAGCGGTGGGCGCGGCCATCAAGAGCTTCGACAACGCCCTGGGCATCAACGTGCCGCGATCCCGCTTCCTGCCCGTCAAGACCGTCTCCGACCTCCTATTGGTCATGTCCAACCTCTACAGCCTGGAGGCGGGCTCTCTCACCATGAGCCAGAAGAGAGAGTTCCCTACCACGCCCCACGTCAAGCTGGGCAGCTCCTTTACTAAGGTAACTAACGTAACCCTAACCTAACTACTACTATAACTACTAACTTAACCTAGCCTTAACCACGCCCCACGTCAAGCTGGGCAGCTCCTTTACTAAGGTAACTAACGTAACCCTAACCTAACTACTACTATAACTACTAACTTAACCTAGCCTTAACCACGCCCCACGTCAAGCTGGGAAGCTCCTTTACTAAGGTAACTAACGTAACCCTAACCTAACTACTACTATAACTACTAACTTAACCTAGCCTTAACCACGCCCCACGTCAAGCTGGGAAGCTCCTTTACTAAGGTAAGGCAGGATTCAATCAAAGGTGCTTTGTTGACTAGCTCATTGCATTTGAGCAACCTATATATATATATATATATATATATAAATAAAAATATAGAGCCCGACAGTGGAGGTGTCATAATACCCATAAAACCTAGCGGTCAAACAGGGAAATGGTTCCAATCGTTTTTCCACCATTAATCCCATAGGGGATTTTAGAAACACTTAAAATAAGGGCTGTGTTTTGTGTAGGCTTACCCTGACATTACTTTTGGATAACCATGTAAATCTCTCTCGGACAAGGTGACTTTTATCAATATATTTGGCTCTATTTACTCAAATTCGAAAATGCTAATTAGCATCAAAGTAGACATCATGCAAAACTACAAATCCCTGCAAGCTCCTGCACGTCATCTCTAGCTGACACCTATTGTGTCAATTTAAAACTTGCACAAGACAGTTCACAGAATTGTCAATTTAAAGAAATGTGGCCAATTAGTTAATTACTACATTTAGCAAACATTAGATAGTTAATCCAGAGATTCTTATCTTTGCTTTGATTCGGTTGGATTGGATTGTCCAGATCATCATGTCATTTGTAGTTCTTTAAGATAGCCACATTAGTAGCTAATTAGCATTTCATTTTTGGGGGGTAAATACAGGTGATAAAAGTCACCCTGTCCTAGAGAGATTTACACGGTTATCAAAACGTCACACCAGGGTAAGCCTACACACAACACAGCCCTTATTTTAAGTGTTTCTAACATCCCCTATGGGAAAAAGGAATGGTGGAAGAACTGTTGGAACCATTTCCCTGTTTGACCGCTAGGTTTTATGGGTATTATGACTCATACTGTGGTACTCTATGGCCAAATTATCTTTAAAGGCCCCATGCAGTCATTTTTATCTCAATATCATATAATTTCTGGGTAACAATTAAGTACCTTACTGTAATAGTTTTAGATTAAAATGGTCAAAAAGAAACAAAAATAGCATTTTAGCTAAAAACTATTTCTCAAGCAAGAATTTTGCTAGGACTGTCTGGGAGTGGTCTCTGAAAATGAAAAACTAGCTGTTATTGGCAGAGAGGTTTGGAACTCATTTTCTCATTGGTCTATTAACTTAAATACCGCCTGGTGTAGTCACCAGGCAAACCAAAACTCCACCCATGCAAAACCTGCTGATTAGAAGGTCCTGTGTAGATTATTTTCAATCAGCAACTATCAGGAAATAATACAGATCATTTGTTCACACTATTACAGTGTTAGTTTCATCAGCTGTTGTACAATATAATACAAAACGCAGAAAAAACTGAATTTTGACTGCTCTGGGTCTTTAAGTGATGCCAAACCAAATATTTAGTTACTTTTTGTTGATTTCAGTTGATTTGGCCATAACAAAAAAAATGTGGGTTGCATTTATCACTTCCATTGATTGTTTGCTAGCGATGGCTAATGTTGCTGTAGTTTGTAGTGGCTGTTTAAAGAAAACCGAACCATGGATTACAGTTTCTCCTGGCCCATAGACTACTTTCAGGGTGAGGAACCATCTTACATCAAGTTGTAAAATCCTGAACTTCCCCTTTAATTGTTTAATGAATGTCTCTGATTGGTGAAATAGTTTTCTCACCTTGTGTGCGGTCTGAATCAGTCCCTGATTAGGAGGGAAGGAAGAACAGAAGTGTTTTGTTTCTTAAGGAGCATAGTTGAATAGCCCGTCCTGATGAAACACATCCTCTTGGTGTTTGTTGGTTCAGATACATCCTCTACATGCTGACCTTTATTCACAGTACATTTGAATGGGGCATGCTGACCTTTATTCACAGTACATTTGAATGGGGCATGCTGACCTTTATTCACAGTACATTTGAATGGACGTGACATGCTGACCTTTATTCACAGTACATTTACATTTTTTACATTTTAGTCTTTTAGCAGACGCTCTTATCCAGAGCGACTTACAGTTAGTGAGTGCATACATTTTTAATTTTTTCCATACTGGAATCGAACCCACAACCCCGGCGTTGCAAATGCCATGCTCTACCAACTGAGCTACATCCCTGCCGGCCATTCCCTCCCTTACCCTGGACGACGCTGGGCCAATTGTGCGCCGCCCCTTGGGTCTCCCGGTCGCGGCCAACTACGACAGAGCCTGGATTCGAACCAGGATCTCTAGTGGCACAGCTAGCAATGCGATGCAGTGCCTTAGACCACTGCGCCACTCGGGAGGTGGCGTAAGTACATTTGAATGGACGTGACATGCTGACCTTTATTCACAGTACATTTGAATGGACGTGGCATGCTGACCTTTATTCACAGTATATTTGAATGGGGCATGCGTAGGGAAACTAAGATCCTTGTCCTTTTCTTCTCACTGTATCTCCTCCTACAGTTGAACTAAAGCTAAACACACCAAACTCTGCATACATATTCTGTTTGTGTTGAGGTGGTGCTCCATTGTTGTACCACCATACGTTCATCCTCTATTTATATAGCTCATCCAATGGGAGTAAACATACCATGATAGAGCTCTCTCTCTCCCTCTCTCACCTCAAAGTATTTGTTATGGCTCTAAACTCAGCATTACATGTCTGTGTGTCTGTGTGTGTGTGTTAACAGGTCCAGGAATACCAGACGCGGTTCGAGAGCATCCCGGATATGCTGGAGCTTGATCACCTGACTGTGTCCGGTGACGTCACGTTCGGAAAACAAGTTTCTCTGAAGGTGAGTTCACAGGCCCCTGAGTTGTTCCTGGCTAGGTCACATGGTCAGGGAAACCTCTTGGCCCTATATTATCTCAGAGCAATAGCTGTGATGGGCCAAGATGGAATGAAGGAACTTTACAATAACGATAGCTGTGATAGCCCAAGGTGGAATGAAGCAAGTTTATAATAACGATAGCTGTGATAGCCCAAGATGGAATGAAGGAACTTTACAATAACGATAGCTGTGATAGCCCAAGATGGAATGAAGGAACTTTACAATAACGATAGCTGTGATAGCCCAAGATGGAATGAAGGAACTTTACAATAACGATAGCTGTGATAGCCCAAGATGGAATGAAGGAACTTTACAATAACGATAGCTGTGATAGCCCAAGATGGAATGAAGGAACTTTACAATAACGATAACTGTGATAGCCCAAGGTGGAATTAAGGAGGTTTATAATAACAATTTATGGCTAAATGCCTGTTGAAATGTGTCAAAAAAATAAAAATAAGGGTCAAATAAATGATAGTAAAAAGCAAATAAACTAAACCTTTACGTCCCTCCTCTCTATCTCCTTTCCTCCCTGTAGGGAACGGTAATCATCATAGCCAATCACGGAGATCGTATCGACATCCCTGCTGGAACGATACTGGAGAACAAGATCGTATCGGGCAACCTTCGCATCCTGGACCACTGAAGCCTTTAACGACTATCCCCAGCACCACCGTCATGTGACCAAGCCAGACACATCCACCACCGTCATGTGACCAGACACATACACCACCATCATGTGACCAAGCCAGACACATCCACCCCAACCATGTGACCAGACACATCTACCACCATCATGTGACCAGACACATGCACCCCAATCATGTGACCAAGCCAGACACATCCACCCCAACCATGTGACCAAGCCAGACGTGATCCAGACATACCCAACAGATACTGATGTGAAGTGATGTCCATGCAATACTGTACCAGTAGTATTTCAGCTCCCTACCCATCAGATGGCCTTACTTGATGAGAATGATGATAGAAGTCATATGGATGTGATATCCTGTGTGACGTCAATGGGAGTTCCAATATCCACTGTACATGTTAGTACAGTCTTAGGCTGGGATTCAACCCGATCGCGGATTTGGACAATGCGCCATTTAAAGGTAACTTTTGATTGAGCCGACATATGCAGCGTTTACCGTGAATGTGGTGTCCACGAACATGGGAACATTGCCTTTAAGACGTGCATTACAGACAAAGCGGGATCGGATTGCATCCCTGCCCTAATTAACAATTCAATATTATATAATGTCCACAACAATATCGAAGGAATACCAATCCACAATATAATGAAATACTTGTCATTTTTTTATCTGAAAGGATTTTGAAGGAGTTTGTCAGTCTTTTTTTTTTTACATCAAAATGTTTATTTCACTGTAATCTTATTCCACCTGTACCTTACTGTGTCTGTTCATCCCCCTCTTCAATAGCTCTGTCCATAAAGAGAGAGAACGGTTGCATTTTCTCCTCGTGTTGTTCTTACACAAACACAGAGGCCTACTGTAGGAGAGTTGATGACACAGAGACCTACTGTAGGAGAGTTGATGACACACAGAGACCTACTGTAGGAGAGTTGATGACACACAGACCTAGGGCTCGATTCAGTCCGTATCGCCAAAGTTCAGTGTTATAGCGCGATTGAAATTAAAACGTAATTTCCGATTGAGCCGACCTATGAAACGTTTACAGTGAATGCAGTCTCTGCTAACGCGGTAACGTTGCCTTTAAATTTATATTGTGCTGTAGAGCAGATCTTCATCGCTACGGATTGAATGGAGTCCCTACTATTAGATCGTTGAATGACAACTCAACGTCTGAGGGGCCTATTGTCTGCAGAACGGGAGTCTGAAAGCAATACAAGTGTTGTCCTGAGACTGACAGGGGTCCCAGCTGCAGATCTCTCTCTAGAGCTGAATAAAGTGCAATATGAAATTAACTCAAGCCTCTTGTCTGTGTTTTAACTGTTTTACAGGACTACTATGGACATTTGGGAATTTTGACTTTTAAAGGTAATTTACGCTTGAGCCAACATTCGTAGTGTTTGCGATCTCTGTGAACGTCAGGGAAATTGCCTTTAAAAGGCACATTTTCAGTGTGCTTGTCGACAACACAACTTTAATTGAACCCTGGTTTCACTCTCATTACAGTAAAGTACAGCATATGTCCTGTCTTCTCATTACAGTAAAGTACAGCATACAGCATCTGTCCTGTCCTCTCATTACAGTAAAGTACAGCATACAGCATCTGTCCTGTCCTCTCATTACAGTAAAGTACAGCATCTGTCCTGTCTTCTCATTACAGTAAAGTACAGCACCTGTCCTGTCCTCTCATTACAGTAAAATACAGCATACAGCATCTGTCCTGTCCTCTCATTACAGTAAAATACAGCATACAGCATCTGTCCTGTCCTCTCATTACAGTAAAATACAGCATACAGCATCTGTCCTGTCCTCTCATTACAGTAAAGTACAGCATACAGCATCTGTCCTGTCTTCTCATTACAGTAAAGTACAGCATACAGCATCTGTCCTGTCTTCTCATTACAGTAAAATACAGCATACAGCATCTGTCCTGTCCTCTCATTACAGTAAAGTACAGCATACAGCATCTGTCCTGTCTTCTCATTACAGTAAAGTACAGCATCTGTCCTGTCTTCTCATTACAGTAAAGTACAGCATACAGCATCTGTCCTGTCTTCTCATTACAGTAAAGTACAGCATACAGCATCTGTCCTCTCATTCTCAAACTCTTTACTTCACATTAGCGGTGTTCTGGGACATCAAGTTATTGGCCTTTCCTTATGGTTACGTAGGCCCTATTTGACATTTTTTCTAATAGTATTTGAAACCACCCAGTTTTTGTTTGCTACGTTACCTGACGGTTTGTACTCAACAACACATTTATCCTATACAGTGCAAACCGTTCAACAGTCTTCGAGGTATGTTCGCTGACCAAGCAGTTGGTCAGCGAAAACACAAACAGTATTTAGTGCTTTAACAAGTCTACTTCTGATGGGGAAGGTGTGTGAGTTCACATGTCATTTCAGAGTACATGACTGTGATCAGATACTGTGTACTGTGACACACAACACAGGTGTACTTACACACACACACACACACACAGTCTATCTACAAGGTGAGAATAATCTTATAAACTCCACAGCCCCATCATGTAGGAGGGAATGCAGCAGGGTGGATGGTTGTCCAGGTTTTTCTTCTACCATGTCTTTTATTTTATTTTTTTGTAATCCAAACACCCCCCTTTTATTGTAGAAATCAACAAACAGTTATAAAACACACAGAATGCTCCTCTCCTCTCTCTTAGTACACCAGATGTGCTTCGTCTGTAGATGGTAGTTATGTTGACTAACAATAATAATTACATACAGTGTACAAAACATGAAGAACACCTTCCTAATATTGAGTTGCACCCCCTTATGCCCTCAGAACAGCCTCAGTTCGTCGGGGCATGGACTCTACAAGGTGTCGAAAGCGTTCCACAGGGATGCTGGTCCACGTTGACTCCAATGTTTCCCACAGTTGTGTCAAGTTGGCTGGATGTCCTTTGGGTGGTGGACCATTCTTGATACACACAGGAAACTGTTGAGCGTGAAAAACCCAGCAGCATTGCAGTTCTTGACACAAACCGGTGTGCCTGGCACCTACTACCATACCCCATTGAAAAGGTACTTAGATTTTTTGTCTTGCCCATTCACCCTCTGAATGGCACACATACACAGTCCATGTATCAATTGTCTCGAAGCTTAAAAATCCTCCTTTAACCTGTCTCCTCCCCTTCATCTACACTGATTTGAAGTGATTTAACAAGTGACATCAATAAGGGATCATTACTTTCACCTGGTCAATCTATGTCAAGGAAAGAGCTGGTGGGCAAGACAAATGGTGTTCATAATGTTTTGTCCACTCAGTGTGCGTTCCATTAAAGCTACATATGATTAGCATACAATCTTAACAAATCATAAGGTTACTGAAGCTCATATCAACATACAGAAATCAAAAGTTAAATCAACAGATCACACACAAGTTACTGAATGGCAACAGAGGATTCATTCATAGTAGGCCCAGAACAGCAATGCCTTAGCTAGACAGTTACACAATGAGTCAGAACGATTGTATATTGTTTATTGATTGGCTCCTTTTTTATTTTTATTTTTTATTTTTAGGGGGTAGATCAGCTTAATATTGCAGATAGATTGTAACTTCCATCAATGTAATTGTCTGCATCACTTCCAATCTATCCATTGGCTAGCTCCTTAATCTAACCTTTGATAATCATGCCTCATCTCTCTGTAGTCTTCAACCCCAGACTAATACATACTATACAGAACAAAAATATAAAACGCAACATGCAACAATTTCTAACATTTTACTGAGTTACAGTTCATATAAGGAAATCAGTCAATTGAAATAAATAAATTAAGCCCTACTCTATGGATTTCAGATGACTGGGAATACAGATATGCATCTGTTGGTCACAGATACCTTTAAAAAAAAAGGTAGAGGCGTGGATCAGAAAACCAGTCAGTATCTGGTGTGACCACCATTTGCCTCATGCAGCAAGACACATCTCCTTCGCATAGAGTTGATCAGGCTGTTGATTGTGGCCTGTGGAATGTTGTCCCACTCCTCTTCAATGGCTGTGTGAATTTGCTGGATATTGGTGGAAACTGGAACACGCTGTCATACACGTTGATCCAGAGCTTCCCAAACATGCTCGGTGGGTGACATGTCTTGTGAGTATGCAGGCCATGGAAGATCTGGGACATTTTCAGCTTCCAGGAATTGTGTACAGATCCTTGCAGCATGGGGCCAGGCGTTATCATCTGTTCACAACGTTGACATCAGCAAACCACTCGCCCACATGACGCCATACACCTGCGGTTGTGAGGCTGGTTGGACATTGCCAAATTCTCTAAAACGATGTTGGAGGCAGCTTATGGTACAGAAATGAACATAAAATTCTCTGGCAACAGCTCTGGTGGACATTCCTGCAGTCAGCATGCCAATTGAACGCTCCCTCATAACTTGAGACATCTGTGGCATTGTGTTGTGTGACAAAACTGCACATTTTAGTGGCCTTTTATTGTCCCCAGCACAAGGTGCACCTGTGTAATGATCATGCTGTTTAATCAACTTCTTGATATGCCACACCTGTCAGGTGGATGGATTATCTTGGCAAAGGAGAAATGCTCACTTACAGGGATGTAAACAAATTTGTGCACAGAATTTTAGAGAAATAAGCTTTTTGTGCGTATGGAACATTTCTGGGATCTTTTATTTCAGCTCATGAAACACAGGACTAACACTTTACACGTTGCATTTATATTTTGTTCAATGTATCACAGATATAACAGATACCCTGCTGATCATCTATCAGACAGATAACAGATCACAAATCAAAGCAGAGGTCCCATTCTTCTCCAGTGAGACAGAATCAAAGCAGAGGTCCCATTCCTCGCCAGTGAGAGAATCAAAGCAGAGGTCGCATCCCTGTCCAGAGAGACTGAACAGTTGGGACTCTAGATGTGTTCTCCTGATCTCTGATAGATTCCAGACAGACACTACTGACCTGTTGTGTGCTACATAGTCATTTTTAAAGAGAGAGAAAATCACAGCCCCATATCCCACTTAGACATCCCACACAAAAACAAAACACACCTGCCTGATCACACACACACTTGCCACCTAAAAATGTCACCCACTCCTGAATGCTTAGCTTTCACTCCTGACGTGTGTAGAAGACTAGTTCTTTGTGATTGGCTTGCGATAGCGGGACATCCCAAATGGTACCCTATTCCCTATATAGTGCACTACTTTAGACCAGGGCCCATTGTGCTCTGGTCTAAAGTAGTGCATTACAAAGGGAATAGGGTGCCATTTGGGACACAACCAGAGCTTGTGACTGCCGAAGGGACAAACTGCACGATGTGCAAAAACATTACAGTAACAATAAATGAATATGCCACATTTAATAACTCTGCAACAGCACTTTCTCTCTGGTCTGCAGTCTGATAGGAGAGTGTGTGTTTCAATAATAAACACTAACCACTAAACCAACAGGGATATGATATGCGTCAGCAGCACATTAATGTTGCTTGACTTCTGTATTTTACACCACTGATAAAGGGGTATGATATTCTAGGATTGGTAATAGTAATAATAGAACATGTTCATTGTTTTTGTACAGCAGCATGTTAGATTCACTGTGGAGAATAGACACGCATAGACATGCATAGACAGAGAGAAACAGAGTTTTTTGGTCTCAGCCCCTGCACTCGGATCAAAGTGAAGAAACTCTGATCTGGACTCATTCAAAAGCATCTCTCTCCTGCCATCTCCATCAGATGAATCACCAACAACCCTCCTCTCACACACAGACACACATTCATTACAGAGAACCCTCCTCAAACAGTTCCACACACCCTGACATCACAAGACACTGGCATCCACTCTAACACACACACACACACACACACACACACAACCTTGGCAGCAGCTCTGACAAACAGGGGCTTCAGTAGTATCTTTATGGCCTCTGGAGCAGCTCTGACAGGACGGAGGCTTCCTCTCTGGAGCAGCTCTGACAGGACGGAGGCTTCCTCTCTGGAGCAGCTCTGACAGGACGGAGGCTTCCTCTCTGGAGCAGCTCTGACAGGACGGAGGCTTCCTCTCTGGAGCAGCTCTGACAGGACGGAGGCTTCCTCTCTGGAGCAGCTCTGACAGGACGGAGGCTTCCTCTCTGGAGCAGCTCTGACAGGACGGAGGCTTCCTCTCTGGAGCAGCTCTGACAGGACGGAGGCTTCCTCTCTGGAGCAGCTCTGACAGGACGGAGGCTTCCTCTCTGGAGCAGCTCTGACAGGACGGAGGCTTCCTCTCTGGAGCAGCTCTGACAGGACGGAGGGAGGAAAGAAAAGAGGTAGAAATGAAGGGAGGAAAATACGTAGATGTCAGAACTCATCCGGGGGGAGAGCTGTCCTGGTTCTCACAGACAAGTTGAATAAAGTTGAACGAACTTGTTAATCTCAGAAACCCAGAACTACTAAAATCGTGCATAATTGCGTCAAAATGTTACGTGCATCTGTCCAGATGGGATTATGAACTTGTTAATGGAGAGAGAGAGCGAGAGACAGACAGAGAGGCGCTCTAGTATCACGTGACTATGACATAACACAGAGCATTTCAACCACAAGAGGACATCAGAGTTGAGCTAACCTTAATGGCAACACTTGAGTGGCAATACAAATGTAAATACAATACCATGGTGTAAAATGTGTCATGTTTTAAACTTTATTGTTTAAAGTCGGTACAAAAACTGTTAAATCAGAAAACATTCTCAGCTTTCGCCTTAAAGCATCAGAAAGCCTCCAGACAGAATAGATAGTCTAGCTCTGGTCCAGGGTGTTACTGCTCAGCCTTCCTTCACTAACGCCCTGGACCAGAGCTAGAGAGAGGGGTAGCGTAGAGAAACAGAGGAGAGACACCATGCAGACAGTAGACACAGACTGACATTGGCTGTATCCAAAATGGCACCCTAGTCCCTATATAGTAGGGCTGGGCGATATGGACAAAAATCCATCTTGCGATAAATTGCCTTAATTAATGCGATAATGATAAATAGAACGATATGTTTACATCATTAATCTGCACCACAGTTTATATTATAATCCTTTAAACTACTACTACTAGTTTAGTGGTTGTAGCTGTAAATTGTCCCATTAACAAATCACCCATATTAGTAAACTTATTTCATTTCAAACTTCACATTTCTCTAGTATAGGCTACTGCCTGTGATCGGTGGTGATCGGTATTGCCGGTGTCGATAATTAACGGCGGTGATCGGTATTGCCGGTGTCGATAATTAACGGTGGTGATCGGTATTGCCGGTGTCGATAATTAACGGTGGTGATCGGTATTGCCGGTGTCGATAATTAACGGTGGTGATCGGTATTGCCGGTGTCGATAATTAACGGTGGTGATCGGTATTGCCGGTGTCGATAATTAACGGTGGTGATCGGTATTGCCGGTGTCGATAATTAACGGTGGTGATCGGTATTGCCGGTGTCGATAATTAACGGTGGTGATCGGTATTGCCGGTGTCGATAATTAACGGTTTAACATCCCAGCTGTACTATATAGTGCACTACTATTGACCAGAGCCCTATGAAGGGAACAGGGTGCCATTAGGGACGACCAGAGAGTAGAGCCCTATGAAGGGAACAGGGTGCCATTAGGGACGACCAGAGAGTAGAGCCCTATGAAGGGAACAGGGTGCCATTAGGGACGACCAGAGAGTAGAGCCCTATGAAGGGAACAGGGTGCCATTAGGGACGACCAGAGAGTAGAGCCCTATGAAGGGAACAGGGTGCCATTAGGGACGACCAGAGAGTAGAGCCCTTGCTTGCACACTTTCCCCAATAAGAGGAACACAGTGCCTTTGACAAGTCCACAGAACATCTGACAGACAAGACGGTAAGCCTAATATACAGCCTACACAACATTGTGATCCTGCGTCATTACAAATTGCGGGGCTGAACACGTTTGCATATTTTTTGCTAAAACAATAACCCCGAACAGCCATTTGGCTCGGCTTGTGTTGTGTACTTGAGTAGAGTATAAAGATGAGGCTTTAGACAGTGGGGTTGTTGAAGACAAGACAAGACAGACAGACAGCGACCTTTAGCTACCGATGAGGTATCCTCTGAAGTCCGTTGCAAGGAGAGTGTCTGTTTAGATGTCTATGGGCCAGACAGGGAGGTGTGTGTGTGTCAATAGGGCTGACAGGTGTGTGTGTGTGTGTGAGAGACAGGTGTGTGTGTGTGAGAACAGACATGTGTGTGTGTGTCCATCTATAGGTCAGACAGGGGTGTGTGTCTCCTCCCTGAGGTGAGTATCTGTCAGATTCAGAGAGCAGTGGAGATCCCTCTGTGTACAATACAGCACATACGAACACACGTTATGTTCTTCTTTCCTCGTGGAGACCTCAAATTCATTTCCATTCAAAATCCTATTTTCCCCCAACCCCTAAACTTAACACCTGAGCTTAAAATAGCCTTTGTCCTCATGGGGGACGTGGGAAATGTCCCCACGAGGGAGAATTGTCCTTGTTTTACTATCCTTGTGGGGACTTTGGGGGATTTCAGGTCCAAACAAGGACTGAAGAATCACACTAAATACTGTTACACAAAATACACATTCATACAGTAAATACATGATACAGTACTATTCATACACACTCATACAGTAAATACATGATACAGTACTATTCATACACATCATTTATACTGTGTAATGCCCCCCCCCCCCCCCACAACATTCTGAACTGATTTTCTGAAGGTTGAAGTTTAGGACTACATTTTCCACTGAGGTATTTTGACCATATAAATACTGTTTCATTCAGAATTATCGTGAAGCCTAGATACTTAAGAAGAGAATGACATTCAACATTTATACATTAGAAATAATTAAATGACCGGTCTGTCTTTACACAGGCAACAGTGTGTGTGTGTGTGTGTTCACTCGTTCAAAACTCCAGACAGAAATCACATAGCTGTCAATCTATCTAACCAATCAGAGCAGAGTATCAGAACATACACACAGGCTCTAACTCAACACGTGCGGAAGCACAACCATTTGCTCACACACCTCTCCAACGACTTAATCACATCAGTTTGGGCTTGTTTGGTTTCTAGGCCTGTGCTTCGAAAGGGAGAAGACGGTCATAAAAGGATGTCTGACATACAGACTCACTCATGGGACTACAAATCCCAAGTTGCTCGCATTAGCAGGAAGTCTCCGTCCAAAATCTATTGCTTCAAATGTGAAAGGTCATGGCAACGCCTTGTGGAAAAAACGGAACAGTTATAACACTGTGTAGGTTGGAGTTGCCCCTAGACGCTGATCTGGAGTCAGTTTCACATTTTCCCCACTAATGGTTAAGGTTACAAGCGTTTCTCATTGGACCAACTCAGGTAGGTCCCTTCCTGTTTGCTTCCGTTGAGCTCCTAGTGAATACGACCCTTGAACTTGAAATCTGCTATTATTCTACTCTAATAGCACAATAAAAATGTTACAGTATTGAAGTGAGGCATCTTGACCAAGAAGAGTAAAGCAGTAGAACTAATGTAGTTTGTCTTCTTTTTGGAGTTGAGTTATTATGAGGTCTGGGCATAAGTCTTAAAGCTGAATACGGATGGATATTGCAACAAACGAGAATAAAACCATATGTGGTCATATGTTAGTACAATAGATAAATAATGTTTACAGTTCTTTCAGAAAACTAAATCATATCACCCAGTAGTGTGTTTGTTTGCTTGTTTCTTTTTTGTCTTGTTTCACATGAAAATATAGAAATCTTTGTTTTCATTCCCATTAAAAAAACAACAATAGAAAGGCCAGTTAAAAACACGGAGAGACAAACAGAAACGGAGAGAACAGTCCAGAAAATCCCCCCACAATCCCAGGGAGTTGGAAGTTATAAGATTTCGTTATAAGCATCGTTCCTTAGCGACCAATAAAAAAGTAGTTCCGACCAAGGACAAATAGTCCCCCTAGTCGAGTGGGCCCTGGAAGATGAGTCTAACGTATCCTTGCTCGCCGCTCAGTTGCTGGGCGCAGAACGGACAGGAGGCGTGGAAGGTGTGTGTTCCGTGCGGCAGCGGGATCTGACTCCAGAACACTGCCGTCTTTTCAGAACACACGTGACCACACGGTGAGAAGGCGTGGGTGGGCGGAGCCGTGTCCAGATAGAAGCTTGCCTCGCAGCCCAACCAGAGGGGAACGTACGGCCCCCTGGCTCGGCACATGGGGCACTCCCTGCTCCGGCCCTCCTGCCGGCCCTGCTCCCTCTCCTCCTGGTCCCGGTCCAGCCTGTCTCTGTCCCGGTGGCTCCCCCAGTTGTGGTATCCATGGACGTGGCCACACTGGAGATACACCCACGGCTGCTTCTCATCTGGGGTGTCCTACAGTAGATTAGATACATTGTAAGTATCCCATAAGGGGAGAATGGAATAGTCACCAGCAAGACGCAGCAACAACAAACACAGAAACACCCTGCTGCCTTCTCTGCACTACAACTAGTCTTCTCTGCACTACAACTGGTCTTCTCTGCACTACAACTGGTCTTCTCTGCACTACAACTGGTCTTCTCTGCACTACAACTGGTCTTCTCTGCACTACAACTGGTCTTCTCTGCACTACAACTGGTCTTCTCTGCACTACAACTGGTCTTCTCTGCACTACAACTGGTCTTCTCTGCACTACAACTGGTCTTCTCTGCACTACAACTGGTCTTCTCTGCACTACAACTGGTCTTCTCTGCACTACAACTGGTCTTCTCTGCACTACAACTGGTCTTCTCTGCACTACAACTGGTCTTCTCTGCACTACAACTGGTCTTCTCTGCACTACAACTAGTCTTCTCTGCACTACTAGCTCTGACTTTACTGATCGCTCCTTTATTGAGGAGAAATGTCCTCACTATGACGGAGATATGTGGTTGTCCCACCTAGCTACCTTAAGATGAATGCACTAACTGTAAGTGGCTCTGGATAAGAGCGTCTGCTAAATGACTCCAATGGAAATGTTTGGCTCAGTTGATAGAGCATGGTGCTATCAACACCAGGGTCGTGGATTTGATTCCCGCTGGGGCAACCAATACCAAAATGTATGCAATAACTGTTGTAAGTTGCTTTGGATAAGAGCATCTGCTAAAACAAAACCAGGGGGGAAAAAATACTTGAATAATATAAAATATGTCAGGTAAAATACGGTTGTATTTGATTAGGGAGGGACCTTGCGTCTCATGGAGGGGAAGGCCAGGGTGTTGAAGCCTACGGGACACTGGGGCCTGGCTGCGTTGATTTCCTGACGTAGAGCCTCCAGGTGTTTGACGGTGGGGGTGCGGCTCAGGCCCTCGGCCGTACGCCACAGGAGGGTGGCACCACACAGGTCTATCAGAGAGCCATCCACCAGCTCCTGGCTCTCTGCCTCCACCTGAGGGGAGAATTTTCAAAACGCTTGTCAATATACGCAACAACATGCGGCATTTCATCAGAACAGAACATTTCGTTAAAACAACATCACACAGATTAAGCCTTCATTCAGAAAGTTCAGATGATCACACAGTAACAAAATGTAAACTGAGACTCAGCGATATGACGTTACCACGAGCAGCACAGCAGATATTGAGATGAGCGCGATGCAAGACTTCACTCTCACAGTCACACAGAGTTTCTGCGCATGTGCACGGGTGCACTTCACGCTGCTACAATGTGAGCGCTACGGGCCCAAAACAGCGGAGAAGTTTAGCCTCCAGTTTCAACGCTCTTAGTTGTTGAGGAAATGGACCGGACAATATAGCCGTTTACTTTTAAGGACCACAGTGTTGAAGGGGTGTAGTGTCTAGTATAGCCCTGTAGGTGGCAGGCTAGCCCAGCTGTTCTACAAGTCTCTGTAGGGAAGTTGGAGAGGTGATATACATGACTGTCTCTGTCTGAGCACACAGCTGGAAACAACATGATCAGCGGAGATGGAGGGAGAGAGAATGAGAGAGGGAGAGAGAGGAGAGAGGGAGAGAGGGAGAGGGAGAGAGGGGAGAGAGAGAAGAGAGAGGGGAGAGGAGAGGGGAGAGGGGAGAGGGAGAGAGGGGGGGGGAAGAGAGGAGAAGAGGGGAGGAGAGAGGAGGAGAGGGGAGAGAGGTTGAGAGAGAGGAGAGGGGGAGAGAGGAGAGGGGGAGAGAGAGGAGAGGGGGAGAGAGGGAGGGAGAGGAGAGGGAGAGAGGGAGAGGAGAGGGAGAGAGGGAGAGAGAGGAGAGAGAGAGGAGAGGGAGAGAGGGAGAGAGGAGAGAGGGAGAGAGGAGAGAATGAGAGCGGGAGAGAATGAGAGAATGAGTGTGAAGAAGAGGGGTAGTTTGAGAGAAAGTGGGGAGTGGGAGGACTATAGATTTAGCAGTCAGGGTAGTGTGTGTACGCTGCAATCAATCTCCAGAAATGATTGTTACTTCTAGATTCTGGCAAAGTCATCCTATCTCCTGACCTAGGAGGTAAACAATGACAGTTTACTGCAGCGTTAATGACTGTGACAGAACACAGCGAACACATCCACAGAAACACTGTCCAAAATAACTGATTTAACTGGTCTCAGTGAGGAGGAGGATCCAGGCAGACATTAGGAAACTGTTACAATGTTTTCCAGCCTTACCAGCTGGAGCCTACTACCACTGTCTGCTACAGGGAGATTCCAGACAGAGAGAGACAGAGGGAGAGACAGAGAGACAGAGAGAGCAGAGGGAGAGCAGAGACAGAGAGACGAGGATGAGAGAGGGAAGAAGACGAGAAGAGAGCGAGGAGAGTACAGAGAGACAGAGTGGAGAAGAGACAAGAGGAGAAAGAGAGAGGACAGAGGGAGAGAACACGAGTCCAGAGAAAGAAGACGAGAAGATACAGAGAGTTAAGAGAAAATGATCAGAGAGGAGGAGGACAGGAAGACATAGGAAGTGAATGTTCGAGCTACAGCAGGGAGCTACAGATGTGACAGGGAGATCAGAGGAGAGAGACAGAGGGAGAGGCAGAGAGAGAGAGAGACAGAGACGAGAGAGAGAGAAGAGAAGAAGAGAGAAGAAGAGACAGACAAGAGAGGACGAGAGAGAGAAAGAGAGATGAGAGAGAGAGAGAGAGAGAGAGAAGAGGACGAGAAAGAGAAGAGAGAGAGAGAGAGACAGATGGAGACAGAGAGAGAGAGAGAGAGAGGAGAGGAGAGAGAGAGAGAGAGAGAGAGAGAGAGAGAAGAGAGGAGAGGGATATTCCACACTAACAGAGAGAAAGAAAGAGAGAGGGAGAAATAGAAAGATGTTGCACACAGAAAGAGAGAGAGAGGGAAAGAGACTGCACACAGGAAGAAAGAAAGAGAGAGAGAGAGGGAAAGAGACTGCACATAGAAAGATAGAAAGATGGGGAGAGTGGGGGGGGGGGGAGAAGTGAGAGAGAGGGAAAGAGAGAGAACAGCAGACTAGCCTCCAGCATCTCTGGGGTTGAGGTCACTGCTGCTAAGGGCAAACACACACACTACACCCAACTCACATCCTGTCTCAAACATTACACCCAACTCACATCCTGTCTCAAACATTACACCCAACTCACATCCTGTCTCAAACATTACACCCAACTCACATCCTGTCTCAAACATTACACTACACCCAACTCACATCCTGTCTCAAACATTACACCCAACTCACATCCTGTCTCAAACATTACACCCAACTCACATCCTGTCTCAAACACACACTACACCCAACTCACATCCTGTCTCAAACATTACACTACACCCAACTCACATCCTGTCTCAAACATTACACCCAACTCACATCCTGTCTCAAACATTACACTACACCCAACTCACATCCTGTCTCAAACATTACACTACACCCAACTCACATCCTGTCTCAAACATTACACTACACCCAACTCACATCCTGTCTCAAACATTACACTACACCCAACTCACATCCTGTCTCAAACATTACACTACACCCAACTCACATCCTGTCTCAAACATTACACTACACCCACTCACATCCTGTCTCAAACATTACACTACACCCAACTCACATCCTGTCTCAAACATTACACTACACCAAACTCACATCCTGTCTCAAACATTACACTACACCCAACTCAGATCCTGTCTCAAACATTACACTACACCCAACTCATATCCTGTCTCAAACATTACACTACACCCAACTCACATCCTGTCTCAAACATTACACTACACCCAACTCACATCCTGTCTCAAACATTACACTACACCCAACTCACATCCTGTCTCAAACATTACACTACACCCAACTCACATCCTGTCTCAAACATTACACTACACCCAACTCACATCCTGTCTCAAACATTACACTACACCAAACTCAATTCCTGTCTCAAACATTACACTACACCCAACTCAGATCCTGTCTCAAACACTACACCCAACTCACATCCTGTCTCAAACATTACACTACACCCAACTCAGATCCTGTCTCAAACACTACACCCAACTCACATCCTGTCTCAAACACTACATCCAACTCACATCCTGTCTCAAACACACACTACACCCAACTCACATCCTGTCTCAAACATTACACTACACCCAACTCACATCCTGTCTCAAACACACACTACACCCAACTCACATCCTGTCTCAAACACACACTACACCCAACTCACATCCTGTCTCAAACACACACTACACCCAACTCACATCCTGTCTCAAACACACACTACACCCAACTCACATCCTGTCTCAAACATTACACTACACCCAACTCACATCCTGTCTCAAACATTACACTACACTAGCACTGCTGTCTCCTGCACACACACACACACACAGCTTAAATCATGTCACACTCCCATTATAAATCAAGGCAGACTTGTATTAAACACATACTGTAAGGACTCCAGGCAGAGGGGAGTGTGTGTGTTCTCCTATGGGTGTGTCCTTAATTACAATCACTTCAACCCTGAACACTCAAACTGGGGAAGGACAAACAGGCCTACAGGCACTGGGTTCTGGTGGTCTGTGTCTGAGTGAACATGTCTACATACACATTCTATGTGGATGGTTTGTGCATGTGCATGTGGGGGGAGGGTGTGTGTGGGGGGAGGGTGTGTGTGTGTGTGTGGGGGGGGGAGGGTGTGTGTGTGGGGGGGGAGGGTGTGTGTGGGGGAGGGTGTGTGTGAAGGGGCATACTGTAGGACACTATGAATGTCTGATGCTGCTGTGTTGACTGCTTCTGTATTCCCCAGTCTGCCTGGTGGATAGAGTCCTCCACCGACACACAGCACCAGGAGGCCAGGGTGGATAGAGTCCTCCACCGACACACAGCACCAGGAGGCCAGGGTGGATAGAGTCCTCCACCGACACACAGCACCAGGAGGCCAGGGTGGATAGAGTCCTCCACCGACACACAGCACCAGGAGGCCAGGGTGGATAGAGTCCTCCACCGACACACAGCACCAGGAGGCCAGGGTGGATAGAGTCCTCCACCGACACAGAGCACCAGGAGGCCAGGGTGGATAGAGTCCTCCACCGACACACAGCACCAGGAGGCCAGGGTGGATAGAGTCCTCCACCGCCACACAGCACCAGGAGGCCAGGGTGGATAGAGTCCTCCACCGACACACAGCACCAGGAGGCCAGGGTGGATAGAGTCCTCCACCGACACAGAGCACCAGGAGGCCAGGGTGGATAGAGTCCTCCACCGACACACAGCACCAGGAGGCCAGGGTGGATAGAGTCCTCCACCGACACACAGCACCAGGAGGCCAGGGTGGATAGAGTCCTCCACCGACACACAGCACCAGGCCAGGGTGGATAGAGTCCTCCACAGACACACAGCACCAGGAGGCCAGGGTGGATAGAGCCCTCCACCGACACACAGCACCAGGAGGCCAGGGTGGATAGAGTCCTCCACCGACACACAGCACCAGGAGGCCAGGGTGGATAGAGTCCTCCACCGACACACAGCACCAGGAGGCCAGGGTGGATAGAGTCCTCCACCGACACACAGCACCAGGAGGCCAGGGTGGATAGAGTCCTCCACCGACACACAGCACCAGGAGGCCAGGGTGGATAGAGTCCTCCACCGACACAGAGCACCAGGAGGCCAGGGTGGATAGAGTCCTCCACCGACACACAGCACCAGGAGGCCAGGGTGGATAGAGTCCTCCACCGCCACACAGCACCAGGAGGCCAGGGTGGATAGAGTCCTCCACCGACACACAGCACCAGGAGGCCAGGGTGGATAGAGTCCTCCACCGACACAGAGCACCAGGAGGCCAGGGTGGATAGAGTCCTCCACCGACACACAGCACCAGGAGGCCAGGGTGGATAGAGTCCTCCACCGACACACAGCACCAGGAGGCCAGGGTGGATAGAGTCCTCCACCGACACACAGCACCAGGCCAGGGTGGATAGAGTCCTCCACAGACACACAGCAC